AACATCATCATTGAAAGGTTTTTTTAAAACATCCTTCAAGCTAAAATCCACCTTTTGGTCTCCAACAGTCAGAGACAATTTACCATTCTTAACATCTATTACCGCGCCCGCGGTTGCCAAAAATGGCCTGCCTAGGATAATGGGGATCATGGAGTCCTCATCCATTTCCAAAACAACAAAATCGGCAGGTATGAAAAATTTTCCTACCTTGATAGGAACATCCTCTAAAATGCCTATAGGATATTTAATAGACCTATCAGCTAGTTGTAAAGACATCCTAGTAGGCTTCAACTCACCTAATCCTAATTTCTCAGAAATAGACAATGGCATTAAGCTAACACTAGCTCCTAGATCACACAATGCTCTATCTATAGCCATGTCACCAATCATACAGGGAATAGAGAAACTACCTGGATCCTGAAGCTTGGGTGGTAGCTTCCTTTGGATCAGTGCACTGCACTCCTTATTAAGTGTTATTGTATCATCTTCCTCCAGTTTTCTCTTATTTGACAAAATATCCTTCAGAAACTTTGTGTAAGTGGGCATTTGCTGCAAAACATCTGTGAAGGGAATATTGATATACAATTTTTTTAAAACCTCAAGAAACTTACCAAACTGTTTGTCCAACCTGGCCTTAGCCAAACGTTGAGGAAATGGAATTGAAGGTTGATATGGCTTAATCTCCTCTTTTTTCCCATACGGTTTCTCCTCAATCAGCGAATGAGATGGAGACTCATCCAATTTCTTCTCCTCCTTATCTTCCTCTTTTGCCATGCCAATCAGACCATCATATTGAGTACGACTCCTAAGAGTGATAGCTAGGGTGTGATTGGATGGTCCCACCTTGGGCTTTCCAGGAAATGTCCCTGGTATTCTCATGGAGTTGGAGGCTTGTTGGGCAATCTGAGTTTCCAAGATCTTGTTGTGGGTGGCCAATGAATCCATCTTAGTAGTTAAATTCTTTATGGCCTCAGAGAATTCATCATTTTGCTTGAGTTGAGTAGCTACAAACGTTTCCATCATGGACTCCAATTTGGATTTCTGTGGAATGTACGGTCCTTGTGGTTGTCTATAACTACTTTGATTGCCTTGGAAAGAAGGTGGTCTGTTTTGGAAACTAGGTGGTCCTTGTGGTTGTCTAAAATTATTTCCATAGTTCCCACCATAATTTCCAATTGCATCTACCTGATGCATCTCTGGCTCGACACTCTGGGTTACTCCAAGCTGACAACCTGAAATATTGTGACCTAAAACACCACATAACTCACAGACAACATTAGTATTACCTACTCCTAGTTTATCAAATTTAACAGACAAAGCCTCTACCTTTGCAGTAAGTAAAGAGACAACATCTAGAGAATACTTACCTGGAGTTTTTGTTTGATAAACTCCTTTCTAAAGACCACTGGTAGGTGTTCTGGGCAACTTCTTCAATGAGATTATAGCCTTCTTCCATGTTTTTGCTCATGAAGGCACCCCCAGCTGCAGCGTCTAGTGTCACTTTCTGGTTTGGGGATAGCCCATTATAGAAAATGTGCACGGTCAACCAGCGCTCAATCTCATGGTGTGGGCATTCCCGAAGCATTTCTTTATATCTCTCCCAAGCATCATATAAAGTTTCATCATCTTTCTGGATGAAAGTGATGATCTGTTTCCTTAACTGGTCTGTCTTGCTGCGTGGGTAGTACTTGTTAAGGAAAGCGTGAGACATCTGCTCCCATGTTGAAATTGACCCTTCAGGAAGTGAATACAACCAAGCTCTAGCTTTATCCCTTAAAGAGAACGGGAAAAGCCTTAATCGGATTGCATCACTTGAAACTCCATTTACTTTAAGTGTATCGCAGTACTCAAGGAAAATTTGCAGATGCAAATTTGGGTCTTCAGAAGACAGTCCACCAAACTAGTTTTGTTGAACCATCGAGAGCAAGGATGGCTTCAACTCAAAGTTGTTCACTTCAATGGTAGGCCGTGTGATGCTAGGCTTCCTACCCATTGAATTTGGTGTTGCAAAATCACGGAGTGCTCTGTTTTCTGGACTAGCCATATGGTTGTGGTTTGTCGAAACAGAAGCTTGTTGTTTGCTTTGCTCTAGTTGTCTACGGAGAGCTCTAATCTTACGGAGAGTCTGTTCAATTTCAGGGTCAAAGATGTCCTCAAATCTAACACTCCTTCGCATAAAAGAAACCTGCAAAATCAACAGAAACACAAGAATCAAAGTGTAATTCTGCAAAAAAATATTAAAATTAAACCAGAAAAATAATGCAGAAAATTTAAAAGGTCTAATCTAACTAAATCACCGCTTAGCCAATATTGGGAAAAGCACAATCCCCGGCAACGGCGCCAAAAACTTGATAGTCGTTCCGCAAGCGTACGGAGTATCGCGTAATAAAAGGTTATCGTTCCCACAGATATTATGCCCAAGTACCGGTACACAGTGATTCAATTATCTAAACAAATCGTTTCAAATAGAATATATTGCAAAATGAATAGAAAACCAAAAACTATTGACAAGAGACTCAAGGTGAAAACTTTCTTAGGAGTCGATAGGTTTATATGTTACGTATTCAATTTAAATCAATTCGTTTCTCATTATTTAACTTCTATTTCTAAGGTGAATTTTCCTTAATTGATTAATGTATTCCTCTCGAAACCCCACTAACGTACCTAATTACCGAAGAACAACGTTCAATTCGTTAAGTAGATCATTTACGCTTTATGAAAATCCAATTACCCCTCAAAGAGTTTTGTCTACTTTCGTAACCCAAATCCCTAGGTTTAATTCCATGTTTTTCTAATGATATATCGATCTCTCAATCATCCACATCATTTAAATTCATCTAACCTTATCTTTAAGCCATTAGAAGTTTTAGGTTCTCATGGAAATGAATAGAAAACAGAAATTCAATAACAGAGAAATTCAAAGTATTCAAAATTGATACATAAACATATTCCCCCTAATCCCAATAATGAGATTTAGTGTGCCACAGAAATGATGATTACAATCCACAATACAATAAATCAAACCCTAACATAAGAGAAAAGTATAAATGAGACAGGAAATTAGAGAATAGAAGAGAAGTTCTTACTATCTCCTCTGTAGCTTCTTTAATTTCCCTCTTGATAGAAGAAATCATTCTCCCTCTTTTGCTCTGGTTTTCTTCAATTTTCTTTTTGGGAAAAACGCCTCTCGTCTTCTTGTTTTTCTTTGTGCTCCGTAACTTCTTTTTTATATATTTTATGCTAAAAAACCGCTCATTTAATTCAAGGAAAATACAAAACGTGCAGAATCCACTGGCAGTGGGAAAAACCCATGGCCAGTGGATCATGACAGGGGCCCAATACTCATTTTCCAATGAAGTCCACGGCCAGTGGGAAAAACCCACGGCCAGTGGATCGTGACAGGGGCCCAATACTCATTTTTCAGTGAAGTCCACGACCAGTGGGAAAAACCAATGGCCAGTGGATCGTGACAAGGGTTCAATGCTCATTTTCCAATGAAGTCCACGACCAGTGGGAAAAACCCATGGTCAGTGGATTTGTTTTACGCCACAGTGCCATTTTCCAGTGAAGTCCACTGCCAGTGGGAAAAACTCACTGCCAGTGGATTTTACTTAACTTCACCCAAAATGCTCTTTAACAATGTTTTAAGGCCCTGAAGTGTTCTTTTCTCTTTTCTTTTACAATGCAATCCAAGGTTTTATTTTTGTGCTTTTAGTGGCTTGAATTCCTTTCCATCCAATGCTTCATCAAATGCTTCCCGTTTCTAAGTTTATAAACCTATAACAAAACTATTTCTGCAAAACTGAGACACCCGAATAACATGTGTGGAATGAAGGAAAATAATTAGAATGAAGGGAAATTCTAACACAAATAAATTAGAAAACTCAAACAAAACGTCATTAAAAATAATGCAAACTAGACACTTATGACTGTGAAAGGAGATTTATAAACCATAATGTAAAAGATTGATATGTTATAATAATCTTTTACACGTGATTGTGTTTGGTAATGTTTTTTTTTTTTAATTATTAGTATACAATATATATGCGTTGCATTTAGACACTTATAATATATATTGAAATATGTTTTTTTTTTATTTATGTTGGTCGTTCGACGAGTTCATATTTAATTTAAATCACACATTCAAAAATATAAAAATAAACACTGATAAAAATAAGTGTACAACTAAAAATAAATATAAAAATAAAATAAAATTTAATTTAATTATTGGAATGAAAAAAAATAAAAAAATTGCCCACAACCTGGAGTGAGTGTTATTTTTATGCGGGTAAGTCAAAATACTGTCACTCCTCGTTAAAAGTAGTCAAATAATAATCAATTTGTATTTCTTATTGTTTATCTTTTTAAATTAAAACTTAACGTTATAGTAAAAATAAGGTTTACACTTATTATAACATCATTTGTGTTTTTTTATTATTTAACGGAAAAGTCGTTGAAGTTATCATGAGAGCCTGATGGATACAAACTTTTATTTTAAATTTTATTGAATTTATTAAAGTATATTACATACTCTTATAGTATATTAATTATTAGTTTATTAGGTGCTAGTTGATAATCATACCTATTTATTTATCCTTTAGTTATACATTGATATATTAATTTTAATATAATTATACAAATAGAAGCAGTTTAAGACTTTTTTTAATAAAAAAGTAAGCATTTGGAATGCTATTATCATATTTCATATTTGTTTATATATATATGGAGAGAGAGAGGGAGAGAGAGAGAGATAGTTAGTGTTGAAAGGAATTGAAGAGTAAACACAAGATGGAAGTTGTAAACAAAATTGTATTTCTCGAATTTCTTTTTTTTTTTATTAATTTTGCATATATATATATATATGGAAGCAATGAATAAGTAAGCATTGAATTCAAGTATGATGCTACACAAATCCAATGACACATGTTGAGCTCCTGGACTTTAATTGGCCTGATCAAACCAGTTCCAATCACCTTGCATTGATTCCTCGATCGAGTGATCTAGGAACACTTGACTTGGATTGCAAGGTTCTTCACCAATATTTCTGGGCAGGGATCCACGCCGTTCTGGTTGAACACTGCACGGTTCACAGCAACCGTGCAAGTTTCTTTGCCCAAGCATGCCTGCTCCACGATTTGCTTGGTCGCAGCAGAATTGCAAGTCCCCAAAACAAAGCCTCCGCAGTAACCACTTGGGTTGCCAAAGCTTGCGAACTCAACTGCCACAATCCTTTTCCCGGGAGTACACACTAGTGAGGCTTCTGGTCCAACAACTGCCACAATAGGCGAGAAGTTTCCTCCCCTAGACGCCCATGACTCCACATTCGCAGGGTCGTTCTCTGCAATAAAACTGCAGATTGTGTCTCTGTTCACATTCAGGATCTCAACCTGTCCTGGAGCTGTTATGTCCTCTTCAAATATAACAAGCAAATTGTCTTGTGGGTTAAGGAAAGATCTTGGGATGTGGTACCTGAACAGCGGTGCAAGTAACAATGTTTTAGTACAATGGTCGTTTTCTATATTTAAATGGACCACGAGAAAGGTTTCATTTTTAGTGAGTGGTTTACTTACTCTGATTGAGTAGGCGTTCCAAGTGGGGAGAGGAAAGACATCCAGTGACGACCAATGCTTTTACCGTTGACCCAGATCAATCCCTTGCCCATTCCCGTCATCCTGATGGCAACTGGACCTGTTCCCTCTGGGGTGGCGAATCTTGTCTGTAAAATGAATGCATAGTTTAGTTATGAAAAATAGAAATGGAAAGAATTTGAAAGTGTTAGCTTAATACAATAGTTTGATCCAATATGTGTGATGTGTCTTACCCTGTACCACGTGAGAGGGCGTGGAATTGGACCGAGTGGCTTCCACTTTGCCCTCAATGATCCTTCTGCATCGAAAACTTTCAGGCCCTCACCTTTGAGACCAACCCGATGACCCCAGGTATTGTCAGTGATATCAAGTGTTCCGGTGTTGAGAGCAAGGATGGTTATAGACTTGGGTCCTGCGTATCTATGTTCCATGTAAGCTCCACTATCGGGTAATCCAACTGTGCTAGCCAAAATGGAAATATAGTTGGTTCCGACCCTGAACTGTACTGGTCGCTCGAACTCAAAAGATTTTTCTTCATGGGTACCATGAGCAGTTCCAATCAAGTCTCCGTTCACAAATGCAACCATTGAATGTCCAAGACTCATAATACGAAGAACTGGGAGAACTCCAGGCTTTATTGGCAAGTCTTCTTGAGTCAACTCGAAGCTAGTGGTGTACCAAGCATAATCAGTGGTGTCCTTAAGTAAGCTATAAAGCTCTGCTGGAAGTCTTTGGTACAAGTCCATTTTCTTGATTGTTGGAATAGCCTCGTTGAACATCTCCCATTGGAAATTGTTTGCAATGGCTGACCTCTCGTAGTTCCTTGCGTTATGTTGTGAAACGATACTTCGGGTGTTGTAGACCACGGTCTTGCAATCAGGGAGGACGCTAATGGAATGTGCAGGCAAAAAGTAGTTAATGCCTCTGAAGTTAACGGTGGCGTCCAGTGTGGTGTGGTTATTAGTGATGAAAGCAGCACAAATGTTTGATCCAGGCCTCTCAAAGATTCTAATCTCATGGAACTCGTTCAACTTTTCCACAGTGGGAACGCCACCATGGATAGCCCTCCTGCAAAAGAGCAGAGCTTTGTGCACGTCCCTCAAATGACTCCATTTTGGTTCTCTTCGAAGGCCGAATTCATCAAGCGGCGCCTCATCGTAATAACGGGTTGTGGTAAAGGCAGAGCTGGTTCTACCGAAGTTTGTTCCGCCGTGGTACATGTAGTAGTTAACCAAGTTTCCACTCTTGGAGAAGAAGCGAGCAACTGAGAATGCAATATCTTCTGCGGATCTTTGGGATGGGGGATCTCCATTGACTCTGTATTGAGCGGTCCAGTTTTCTGTCCATATGGCTGGTTTGTATGGTTTGTTTGGCCCTGAGAAGGTATCACCACAATGTCTTCCATTGCATGCATTGATCACTGGATCAGGTGCATCTCTTTGCTTGCACATGACCCATGGAACTCCAACGTCAAATGCTACTGCCAAGTTTGCAGCCCATTGGACGTAACTGTCTCCCTTCTCCTCGTATGCAAGTTGAATGTGGTTGTACTCGTTCTCGATCTGAGCTAAGATGATGGGGCCTCCTTGGGGAGCAAAGAGCTTCTCATCTTTCATCATCTGTACAATCTTTGTCACGAATGCTTGCATGTGTTGCTTATAAGGCTCATTGTCAGAACGAAAAATGATGCCAGGGACCTCTCTGAGCCAATATGGAAGTCCTCCGTGGTTCCATTCGGCTTGGATAAAGGGCCCAACCCTGAGAGTGACGAACATTCCGCTTGCTTGAACAAGCTTAATGAACTTCACCAAGTCATAATTGCCCTCAAAGTTGAATTGTCCCGGCTGTGGCTCGTGAGCATTCCAAAACACGTAGGTTTGAATGACATTCAAGCCTCCACGTCTTGCATTATCAAGAATGATAGGCCACATCTGCATTATTCATACATATTATTATTTGCATGTATTTGTTCAACGACAATAATGATAATAGTATTATGATGGAACCAACTTACGTCTGGGGTGCTTCGTGGATAATGGATGGAACCAGAAAACAGCATCTCACGTCTTCCATTGATAAAGAGTGACTTACCATCGTAAGTAACATTTTGAGGGTCCAAATGGCGACCATGCTTTCCCCTGTGACCACCACGTGCATGTGCCGCAGTGACGACGATGGAAAGCAAGGCGATGAAAAGAAGAGTGCGAGGCATGCTGGATTCCATCCTTATTAATTATTCATGCACAAGAATCGAAGGAAGAATACAAGTGAGCCAATGCCGGATCCTCCTTCTCGTATATGAGAGAGAGGTGCCAGAAAGCTGATTTTCTCTTTGCATCAACTGCACTTATATACTCCTCTCCCACCAATGCGAATCACCCCTTCAGAGAAAAACTCGCTCTTCCGCTCATTACCGTTGCATTTTGTTACCACTTATTGCTGGATTCCTTCGTCTTCACCCTACGCCTAAGTCATCGTGCTATTCTTGACCATAACATACCTTTAGACCATATTTCCCTCCCTCACTTTCTCCTTCGTTTTAGTTCAATCAATCTCTCAAATTAACAAACCTCATTTTTCTTTCAAATACTAACAAAATCTATACTAGTCCGGTTTAAATTGTTGATTTTTTCAACAATGCCTTTTAAAAAATCACTAATTGTTTAATACTTTGATTTTTAAATGTTTACCCTAACGTGTATATGAGAATAAAATTTCATAATATTTTTATATTATAAAATAAAATACACAAATTAAAGAGTATTTCTTTTAATGTACATTTCGTTTAATGGTTAAGAAAATTCTTTCAATATATATTTTAATTTTAGCTATTTATTTATTTCCATCTACATTCCACCCTGATAAACTTATCGTGTTTTTTTATTTATATCAAAATCATTTATTCATTTATTTTTTTAATTATTAATAGATAAAAATATTTTTACACTATAGCTTAAACTATTAATTATAAATTACAAATTAAAATGTAATTTATATTTTAAAATATTTATTATAAATATTTGTAATATTTGATGGTTGATGTGGAAAAATGAAAATCCACGACATATTAATTAAATGATTTGATGATTTTTTTTTACTGGAGAGACATAAATATAAATAAGCTTTGGAATCCAAATATTATTTATTATCCGGGAAGAGGAAAGGGAGGGAATAAACTAATAAATTGGATTTTGTTATGAATTGAATTCCCTTTCCCTCCAAAACATTTGGATACCTCTCTGAGTCTCCCTCCAAAATCAAAATCAAAATCAGCAAAACCCTAACCCTTTCTTTCTTCTCTTCTGTTAACTCCCATTAGGCAGAAGCATAGACAGAGCATTAGGCATCATGACAAGCCACGAAGACGACCTTGATCTCCTTCTCTCCCTTCAGGATAGAGTTCTCGAGACTCCTCCCGCTTCTCCCACACCGGGTATCATCAATTTCACATGCTAATGCTATGCAATTATTTTCCACTCTTTATGCAATTCCATTCCCTTCTTCACTTCTCATTTTCATGTCATTCATTGCAGATTACCTTTCCGATGACGAATTGTTCAACCAAAGGGACAAGCCTGACATGTCCGTATTCAAAACAGCCGTTCAGGATTGCCTTCCCTACGATCCCCCCAAAGCGCCCAAACCAACCAACAAACACCTAACTAATGATTCCCAGCTTGAAAAGTTTTCAGGCCTTCGCATTAGGTTTGATTCGCCTCATTTTCATTTGTCCTATTCACTATCATGCCTACCTGTAAATTAACTTCTCCGAGTGAACTGCAATTTATTCTCTGTCTGTTACCGGTATTGTCTAGGAACCAATTGTTAACTCCTGCTGAGCTCAAGGAACACTTTTCAGACATTCGTTTTGTTCGGTTATCTGTTATAAAGTAATCTTCTTCACCTTCTCTTCATGCGTAATATGAAGTGATGTTTTTTTTATGTCACTATAAGATTGAAATCCTTATGTATTTGATTTTGATTGTTCAGGAATTCGTTAATTGGGGATACTTTTTCTGGGAGTTGGGCCACTGTTGGTGTGTTGACTGAGAAGGGGAGTCAGAAGGTGAGTTCAACAGGGAAAAGCTATTCTATATGGAAAATTGGGTGCCTGGATGAATGTACGGTTTCTCTTTTCTTGTTTGGAGATGCTTATCAGAGGAACATGCAAGAGCAAGCGGGAACGGTCTTTGCACTGTTTAACTGTACTGTTCGCAAGGACAATGCGGTATCGAATTGTTATGAGTTGGATTGTTTATTCTGTTATTTTTTGGTCATCAAGGAATGCCACAAGTTTTCTAATCTCTCTTTCTCTGTTTTTTAATTGTTTTTTTTTTTGCAGGGTAATGGTTTTTCCTTGAGCATATACTCCACTAGACAAATTATGAAGATGGGCACCTCTGTTGATTATGGAGTTTGCAAAGGGAAACGATCAGATGGGATGGCTTGTACGCTGGTCATAAATAAGTATGTACCATTGATTTTGTTTTTCTTGATTCTCTTTGAGCCTAGTTCACAATAGGGTCCTTTTTTAATTCTGTGAACCTAGTCCTCCTATATTTTCGAACGGAAAGTTATTTATGGTCATTGTTTTTTTATTGACATTTTTACCGACGACCCCTTTAGTAAAATTGCAATTTGGCATTATGTTAGTCCAAGGCAAGATCATGCTAGGTGTTAGCGTGTATTGTAAGATTGTAAAATGCATTTGAAGGAAAACATTCCATAGGGTGAGCAGAGTGGGTGAGTCAATAAATGAGATTTTTTGTAAGGTATCTCCACTATAATGACAATGTATGGATTTTTTAATAATTAACTTTACTAAATTCATAGTTGCTAAGCATGAGTAATATTAGTTGTTACATGACTCCATGTTCTTTTCATAATTTCATGTTTGTTTTTGTTGAGTATATCACGTTTACTAATAAAGGACTTGACCATAAAACTGTAAGGTTTACTCTTTGATAAAAGAACTACTAAATAGCATCAAATACGTTGTGATATCTCTATAATTCATAATCTTCCTCGTAAACCATCTTTCAGACAGTATCATAGTTTTCGTCATATACTGATCTCATAACCCTTGATATTTGTTATTTCAGACGTCATGGGACATATTGTAAATATCATAAATCGGTAAGTAGCGTTTAGTTCTTGCAGGTTTTGTTGTCTATATTGTAGCAAGGATATTATTGGTGTCACTAACTATTTATAACACCTGTAGAAAGCATCAGAGAAGTATTCCACGATGCGAAGTGAACTCAAAGGAGGGTGGGTGTTTAGTACTTTCAAGGTTCAATTTCTTATTGATAATGTAAAGCTTGCTCTCAACTTCTTTAATTTTACCTAATGTGACATTTAAACATGCATTTTTTGTCGGCAGAAACTTAAGAACAGCGTTTAGGCCTAAGGATTACCTCAAATCCGAAGGAATTTACTTAGTTGACCCTCTTGCTGACAAATCAAACTTAAAAAAGTCTCAGCCAGTGAAACTATTGTCCGTGGATGGTCTCAGAAAGGCATTGAGGTTTGTTTCTATTACTTTGGCATCTGTTAAGTTATGTTGCAAAAACGTTCTTTTTTTACTCCAGTTGAATGTTTTACAGTCTAGTATTAATAACAACTTTTATACCAGCAATGCTGGAAAAGTGACAACATCAACTCATTCTCAAGGGATTAGGTTTCTTTCTCAGCTTGCAGGTGATTGGATTTCACATAACTTTAATGCCATTTATTAATGTATTCATGGTTCATGATATTGTGTTCTTAGCTTAGTTTTGCGTCTATATGCCAGCCAAGTCAGATCCAAAACTGAAGAATAAAGGACCAAAGATTCCAAATGAACAAAACAAAAGCACGGAGAAGAGGTGAGAGATGCAATAAAACAAAGATTCTAGTTTGTCACCTGCATCTTGCCCATGTTATTGGCAGAGGCCAAGCATAACAATTTCACTTGTTATTGTCTTCAGGAAATCATCTTTTCCCAGTGTGGGATCATCTTCAGTCATGAGAAACCGACAGTTGGATGGAAAAAGAATAAAACCAGACGCGCAGGTTTTGGCTGCTAAAACCCCAAAGAGTACAGAAAAGATGATTGAATTAGATTTTGTTAGCTCGGATGAAGACTTATGAAATTTCTACATTGCTCTCAGCCCTAGTTTCATTTTAGAGCACCAATGTCCGGGCAAAAATGTGTTTCATGAGTAGAAAGTGAAGACTTCTATGGCTTACCTGCGTTAGTGTTGGAATCCAGTTAGTGCCCCTAGAAGTTTTGATAGATCGGTTCAAAAAGTAATTTCTGTCAATATGTCAACTTAATTAAAACTATAATTGAATTGATGTTGAATAAACGGAAATAGAGCAAAAAAGTAATCATAAACATTATATAAATTTTGTAAATTAAGATGAAGGTTGGAACGAGATTCATTCTACTTTGTACCTCACCCTCTCTCACATTGCCTCCTCTTTTATTGTGTTCGTTTGCTGCGTTTATCTCCTGTAAGTTCTGGTTCTAATCTATTGTGTTTAGATAAAAGTTGTAAAATTATTTTTATGAATTTAACTGCATAATTTTTTTATTCTTCAAAAATAATTAAAATCATATTCCTTTGGGAGTAAATATATTCGGAGCTCTTCCAATTAAATTCAAACATCTGCAAAGTCTTACACTTCAAAGTTTATTGATAGTTAATGTATTTTTAATCACTGTTTGTTATAGAAATAAATGACACATGTTAGAAAAAAAATATATAAAGCATGTTAGTTTGAAGGTGGTAATAGTAACATAGTCCAATCTTTTTTAATAAGTTGTTGTGTCTAAAACATCATTAGCGGTTTCTTTCTCCTGAATTCCTAGATTCAGTGTAGTAATTTGTTACGTGTGTCAACATTGTATAATTTTTGTATATAGTGATTATTATTTATCAAGTTTAAAATTGCCACATTTAATTATTTCTTGCTACATTTGGAAAGAAAAAAGAGAAGAAATGTAAGTGTAAAAGTAATGAGAAAAGGAACATTAATTTATTTTACTTTTTGTTTTGCTTTTAGTCTTAATAATTATTTTATGCTAATTTTTAATTTTTACAATTGTTACTTTATTTTAAATAATTTAAATATAATTTTTTTACATAGTTTCTGAAAATTTTAAGGAGAAATTCCATTCATATTATGAGATTGTATTAAATATCTAAGAAATATAAGTATTACTTCATTAAAAACGTATAAGAGAAATGAATGTTTATTTTAAAATTTTAAAAAATATAAATAATATTTAGGGGATGTAAATCCAGTTTCTCATAATTTTTTAATCTAAAATAAACCCGTACAAAACATGCAACAATACATTGGTTTATATAGCGTATACTTATATTTGCAAGTATAATAAAACACAATTAAATTCATCCTCTTTATGAGGGGGAGAGATCAAGGCAGGAGGTTAAGAAACAATGGCATAGTGCGAGTGGAGTACTCCTTACTCTCACATTATTCCATTTGTTTAAAACAAAACACCAATATCATTACTTGCAGATTCTGAAATATCCAGAGAAAAGAAAACAAAATAGATGAATATTATGAAACAAAGTTCAGTGACCACAGATTCTGAAAACCAAAACACTAATATACAATGAAGTCGAACATAACAATGTTGGGAGCAAGAAGCATCGTAGAGTAGGCGGCAATATACAATACGATCCAATCGAATAGAAAGAAAAGTTTGGGAAGCAAACGGAAAAGAAAGGGTGTCACATAACGACGCAAGCGGAGGGGTTCTCGTCGCTGAAGGCGGTGGTGTAGCGGACCTCGGTGGAGCTGGCACGTGCGAGATGGGAATAGTGAGGATCATCGGTGTTTCGCACGTAACCGGAGGGGGCTTTCTTATCGTACACCCCGGGTGCGTAGGGGTGCGCAACGACGTCGTAGGGGACGTATGGCCAGAGCTCTGCTCTCTTGCCAGTGCGGTGAGCGATGCGGGCCACCACCTTAGACGCCTCCACATAGCCCACCACCGTCACTTTGTTGGCCTTCCGATCCACCTCCACCTGGTTCACGCCCTTCATCCCCTCCACTGCTTTCCTCACTTTCCTCTCGCACCCTTCGCAGTCCATCTTCACTTTCACCTCCACCGTCTGATTCATTCATACACACCCAACTCAGTTCCTATTTCCATCACTACTTATCCTCATATCATACTCATCCATTAAATATTTCAAAATATCAAACACAACTTATTTTCGCGTTCTAGATCCGATCTAATGGTAAAGTAATTAATTTATGAATTACCTGCAATTGCTTGCGCTTCTTGTGCTTGGAACTGCCATGGGAGCAGTCAAAGAGTTCGGAGATGTGATCCAGAGCACCCATTTTGTACTTGAAGCCAAAGAATCGAGAGAGAGAGTTGATTCCAGTACCTGATTATATGCTCAACAGAGACAGTGAGGAGCAGAGATTTTCTGGGCCACTTTATAAGCAAGCGACAAACAAGGGATGTACCTGAACTACTTGGGCGTCCTACAATGAATCTGAGATGAAGTGTGGGAGGACACGTGTCCTGCTCTCTAATTGGACGGTCATGGATTTACGGGATCGATGACCGGCCAAGGGAAACAGACAAGACACATTTTAGTAGCCCGAAACCGTGTCCGTTGCAACGCTCACTTTGAGAGTGAGGTAGAATTGGGTGGGCCCCACCTTTTTCCATTTCCAATAATCATCATCATCATATTTACTCATTTTTCAATCTCGACAAGGTGACGGGACCACTCCCCACCACCCTTTAACTCTTTCCAAATACTAATATCCTTCTCTTTCTTTCTTATCTACTTACTAATAACTATCTTATTTACTCAACAATCTTATGTTTTACAAAATATCTGAATTAATTTAACTCTCCAACGTTTTCTCATCTTTTTTCTTGGGACCATATTGGGCAATTATTGAGTAAATGTGTTACCATGCAAAATCTTTCCACTTTCTCACTACATAAAAACCCTCTCATTCATGCATGCTTCCTAAACAAATATTGCACTCTCTCTCTCTCTCTCTCAAGTTACTTCCTGCACTCATTCAACAAGTCTAATTAGAAAAGAGAAAGGAAAAGGAAAAGAAACAATGAGCTATTTAGAGAAACAAAAGCATGGGTGACTTCTTTCTTTTGCTCCCTCCATCAACATTTGTCCATAAAGGCAAAGCAAAGTGGGAAAATAATACCTTGGAAAAACAGGACCACGTGCTTGTCATATTTTTTTGCAAAGTTTTTAAAAGTATAATGAAACAGGTCTCAAATTTGTTTATTTTTTAAATAGAAAATACTTTTTCAAAAGTGGGATAAAGTTGTAATTTAAAGAAATATGAGACAGTAGTTAAAAAGCTACCTAAGACTTTGATAAAAGGATTATTTGATTAAAAGGCAAGGTCATTATTGGTGTGGGAAGACCAACTAGGCCACTACTTTGCCTTATGTCCCTGTTGAATACTAAAAACAAATTAAAGAATATGAAGAGAGTATTCGGGCCATGGAATTGTTGTTTGTTTATGGAGGCCCATGTTTGAGTGAATGAAGTGGTTTGGTGCAGTGCCAAACTACTATTTTTTACCAATAAAGGTAATGGACCAAAATCAAAAACAAAAAGCCTTTGCACCCTTTTCTTTCTGTAGCTTTTATGAAGGCTACATTCATGGACCCTACCCCTCTACCCCCTCCTAGGAAATGCTACAACCATGGCCCAAAAAGAACCATACTCTTTTCTTTTTTAAAATACATATATAAAATGATGTTGATCACATTCAAATATATCTTGACATAATAACTAGTTATCTTCTTTTATTATCCTGTGCTTGTTTCAATGTTAATTTTCGGGCATCACATTTAGAAAAAGTACTATAACTAGAAATATTATTTGTCAGCATATCTAAAAACATGCTTAGATATTAATATTCACAGAGCCACATTTTAAATTTTAAATTATTAAATAAATAAAAATGAAAAGTATGGTGTTACTAGTACACCATTACTCTCCGTTACATAAAAAAGCTATTTTTGAGAATCCCAAATTCAAGATATAACTAAATTCATGTGTATAATTAGGAGAATTATCCTTTCTAATGTTGAAAATTTTCAATAGACATAGATAGAGGTTAATATTTTTCAATTTATATATATTGCATGTTTTTTATTTATTCAAAATATCTGCATAGAGATTATTCTTATTTTATAAATTAGTTTTGTTAAAATTAATTAAATCGAAATTAAATTTTAAAAATTTATGTAGTGATTATTATGAAGTCAAGTGTAATCTAATATAAAAAGAATAGAATGGACTAAAGATATAAGAAAAGTTAAGAGAAACTGTAATTTGACTTTGAAGTGAGAAGAGAAACTTTATTTTAGAGGTTAACCTAAAAGGCAAAAGAGAAAGAAATGAGTAGGAAGGAGGAAACAGGATATGCACGTATGGAGAGATTTGGTTTGAAGAAAAGTTATTTATGGGAAGAGAGAGAAAGAAAGATGATGGAGGTTGAAGTTGAGACAGTGAATGATCCAAATCCGAATCCATATCCACTGCTTGACTTTACTGACTGACTTAGTGGGTCAAGGTCACCCCCACACCAAAAGCATTACTCTGGTTTTGGTTTTGGGTTAGGCATAGAAAAGCGACCCTTCGATGTGTGGAAGCAAAGCATGCATGGGATCATCCCTCTCACACACACACTCTTTCAAAATTCACATCACTTGCGTGTGTTGGCTTCCAACCTCACATTTTCCTATTTCTCTCTCTCTTGTTCTTTATTCTAACATATACTCTATTTTCTACTGTCATTATTCACCTTAAACAAATTAACCAAAAGCAAAACAAAATCTTAACTTACACGCCTCATTTACTCTCCTTCATTAATCATAAATGCCAAGAGAAACATGAATAAGGTCAAACATCAAAGTTTAGCTTCACACCCCTGTAATATCAAATTACAGAACAAGAAAGTAATTCTGTTAACCGACAAAGAGTTTTATATTATCTCATATTGTCTTTATCTATTTTTATCATCTCCTGTGTAGTTAATTAAGTTGCCAGCCTCATATTGAAAATTAGCCCTGTATATGTGTGCGTGTCTAGTGGCACAAACACCAAGAACTTTGCATGCAGCAGGCAATCACAGTAAACTAGGCTGTACCTGAAACTTTGTTATTATTTGTGTGGTTATGTACTATACCATCATGTTGCGTATGTTAAACTCCAAAGTTATTATAGTAAGAGCCACATGTATATATATAGTTTTATCTTCAGTAAAGAAGGCATTGACATCACAACAATGGAAATATTCTATTCTATTGCTTTCTTACTTATTCCAATACGGGAAACATTAGTATTATACTTATCGACGTGGAAAAACAACACATTAACAATAAAACGTACAAATAGAATTATCTAACATCTCTGTCATGGTATATACAAACAAAAGGAACAAACAGAATTCATCCTTGTGAACCAAAGACCACGCAACGGCATCATTTGTTTCACCCCCAAGCCATGTACGATGAGTTCACCATCTTATCTTCGATTATTCTATCCACTGTGGATTACCAAAACCATTCAATCGCCTACATATATGAGATATAATCAAAACTACCAAAAGTTGATGGTACTTTTCAACTCAAATGTAGTAGTAGTGGGGTGGGACAGGGTTTTGTTTTGATATAGTAACACCTTCTTGGTGAGGTGAGCCCCTTCAGTGCTTAATTAGTGCTGTTTCGAAGCGTGCCCTCGGAAATTAAATGGAGAAAAGTCCAATTACACTTCCATCATCATTTTTCAAAAAGATACCATTACTTTTAATTTATAGATATATAATATTACCTGCCTAGCACATATATAATAAAATAATGGCATTCATGATCATAGCTCATTATATAATGTGTTTTTTTTTTATTTAATTACTTTAAATTGTATCCTTAACACCGAAGCCCATTAAATTTAAGAAATTTTGTTATGAAGGGTGGCTCAGAAGTAGGTACTAGAAGCTAGGCTGTGGCATTGCGCAGACTTTGAATTCATCACTTTCACAACGTAACAGTATGTGGGTGTAGATGGAATAATGACACTATCAAGGGACCCTATCCACCAAAGATTTTCCTTGGTCGAAAATCAACTATATATCCAAGTTTCGTGAGTGTGAAAAATCAAAGTCCAAAAGTGAACAATTATTAGGACGTTGAACGACTTGATTATTTATTTTTTTAAATTTCGTGACCGTTTATTTAAAGTTCAGTAGGGACACGTAACTTAGGGGTGGAGGTGGGACTCGCTTTTACTGCGTAAGTTCGATGTGGCTTTGGCAAAGGTTGAAAGCCAAAAAGAGAAAGACAAGTAGTTGAGAAGTTGCTGCAAAGACTTTTTGCGTCAAAATAGGAGAGATGGGGTATGCGTAATGAAACAATAGCCCCGTCTTTAATAATTAGTTTTAGAAAAGCAAACCCAATTTCCAGGAGAGAGAGAGAGAGAGAAAAAGAGATGATAGTGGTCTTTGAGAAGAGTGATAATGATGATGGAGGCAATGTAATGGGATGGAATAGTGATATAGGTCTGGTTTTCACATGGAATACACCCTACCCTTTGCTTGCGGTTGCGCAAGAGCCGCCCAAGAGACTGGCGAGTTCATTCATGGGGTCAAACTGGGTGGACTGCACGTGGCTCCATCACCACTCACCACCTCGCCACATAACCCTTCCTCCTCCTAACCCTATTTCATCTTCCCAAAACAAATCTCGGATAAATGCTAAAATACATATATTGTGGTGTGGACATGACTTTTCCCAAACACCTAGGGAAATGAAACATGACTCTTTTTGTTTCTTTTCCTGTTGTTTGCGGTGTTGGCTGACATATATATATAATGTTTCCGTGATTTGGGATTCCACCGTAAGCGTCCAAACGCAAGGTGGGTCATGCTCATGCCTTCCTCTGATTGCATGTGCAGTTCCAAAAAGATAGGTTCAATATAAAGTCCAAACTTCAACACGGATCAAGATCACTACCCATACATGCTGTCATTTTTATATCCTTTTTTTATGAGACCCTTTCAGTCTAAAAACCCTGGTTGCCTCCCACTCCTCAAAACAAAGCTATACAGCTGAAGATTACTACGTCTCCTTTTTGGCTTTTGCCTTTTGGTGGATGTGAATACACGCTTGTCAACCACTCAGAAAGCAATCTGTAATTAACAAAGCCTAAATATGCTTAAAAACCACATCATTGTCAATAAACTTCTGCATAACTCATTAGCTGATAACTTACATCTTGTCTTCACAACAATACCAGGGTTGTTGCTCCAATACAACTTGTATATTTGTAGAAAATGATGTATGACTTACCAGCTAGTAGTGTACGTGCCCAACAACTCTGCTTCTTGTATGATCAATCAACAAGATTATGAAAAAGTTTTTCTTTACAATAAATATTATTAATTAGGATATATCTCACTTCCCATTTCAGCTCACATATTTTAAATTACACCTTCTCATATTTCATTTTTTCAACACACAGATTTTCCATTCTGGCAATTGTGTAGAGAGGGTAGCAAATTGATTTTTTTTATTGTTGATTCTGTAACTTTCAAATTGATATAATCGTTTGGTACACTTATAATGTTTTATATTTTACACTAATTGTAAAACATACTCTGTGGTAGTGTTTAACCACCAAAACAAAATATATTAATTTGAATGAAGATATTGGACTCTTACACTCTTAATAAAAATAAATTAATAGAGTATATATCATGAATATTCATCAAGGTCAATTAATATTCATCAAGGTCTTTGGTTATTTTATTTTATTTTTAGTTTAGAGATTGTTTAAATTGTTGCAAAGTGTATTTTATAATTGTTGTAAAATGAAAATATGTTACTTCCAAGTTAATAATAATAATAATACTAATAATAATTAACAAAATAAGTATGGAGAGTGTAAATTTAACACTGTGTTCCAATCACAAGCGCTATAAATATTAAATTTATACAGTGTAAAACTTATTAATGTACAACTATTAAACTCAAAAACTATTCAAAATTTATTTGCGCAATAAATAAATAATAGAAAACAAAATTAGAGAAAAATAAAAATGATTTATGTTAAATAGAGATTGTTAACCAAGATACACAAGTCAACAAAGTGAAATAAATGAAAATAAAACGTTTTTTAATATAAATTATTTGATTTTGTTAAATATTACATCTATTTAAATTTTATTAATTATTTTATGAAAAACAAATAAAGCATATGTAATTATTTAATATTGGTACTCATTCTGGCAGTTTTGGTGTCATTTGATTTAAAAAAAAAAAACAATTTTCCTTGACTTAAAAAGAAATAACAAATATTTAATATACTGTACTAAATGTTTTTTCACAAGCGACTATAACCAGCTTCGTGATAAATTTATTATATAACGTAACATTTATGCTATTATAATACCTACATAGAAAATATCAACAATATATTTCTAATATGCTATTTTAAATGTTTTATATTATAAATATAATATATTGAAAATCATATATCATTTTTTGTGATCTATTTATTATTTAACGACTCTTTCTCTTATTTTTATAAATTCATATATTTTGTTTCTACTGAACAATTGTTTTTTTTTACATTTTTGGATATATTTAGTTAAAGAATTATTAAAATGAATACAATTTTTAGAATTTAAATATATGAAATCGTATTTTAAAACAATTTTATATAGAAGTCATGTTCTAAAATACAAAATAAAAAAATTAGTGACTTAATTTTTTTTTTCAATAACAAAAGTAATTTTTAGAAATACAATTTCTATATATTTTTTTCTAAAAGAAAAGGTATAATTCTAAAATACAACTTACCTGCATTCTAAATTTTTAACAAATTATTTGGTAATAACTATTGATTAATTTTTTTTTTACACGTTTGGAAATATTTGGTTAAAGAATTATTAAAACGAATATGATTCTTTAAAAATTTAAATACATGAAATCGTATTTTAAAACAATTTTATATAAAAGTCATGTTCTAAAATACCAAAAAAAAAGTTGACTTAAAATATTTTTTTCTCAATAATAAAAGTAATTTTTGAAATACAACTTTTATTTTTTTCTAAAATAAAAATACAACTTACCTGTATTCTAATATTTTTCGTAATTTTTTTTTAAATATTCTGAAAGGTAAAAAAAAAAAAAAACAAATCTCGCAGACGGAAGAAAATAAATATATTATAAAAGTTTGAGATATTTTGATTATCTTTTTACACAAAACTATGAGATATGCATATAATTTTGCAATCGTTAAATTATTAACATGTGATTATGGTGTTCCATAAAGTGTACGAGAGGGTAAGATTGAAAAATAAAATAAAATAAAAATCTAATAATAATTTAATTTCTCACACGTCTCCTATATCTTTCGTATATAATCTTATTGTAGACAGAATCAAGTATTAAATATGGAAATATTTTTCGCTAAAGATTTGAATTTTGATTTACCATATCTTTTCGAGAGATTATTTCTTTTATATTAGATCTAAATTCAAGTCTAATTATTTTTATGTTTACTATTTGTTTTGTTTAATATATAAGTTAATCTTTATAGTCAGTAAAAAAATCTTTACACTATTTTTCCCCCACATCAGGGTTTCTATAACATGGGAATGTCTTCATAATATCCATCTTAAAAAAAAATATCGAAATAAGAATATTAAATATTATAAAACTCTCTCTATATAATAATTATAATAAGAAACGGTGAAATACCAAGTACCTAGTAAAAAAAACTTACATGTCAGACATTTATAAATTATATACGTGATAGTTTTTAAATAAAACAAATAAGTGATATAATTAGTTAACTGTACAAAAGTCATACAAATGATATTTTATTAATTATACAAATTAAACTCATTTTTCAACAATTAAAAATTCTATCCAAAAAAACTACTCAATTAAAGTTTATGAAAAACTTAATAATACTAATTAGCCAGAATATTAAATAATCTTAAATTTATTATTCAGAAGAGTCAATCCCTTGGGTCCATCTGGAAGTCAATAACCCTATTTATTATGGTTACCATAAAATTTATTATACAAATAAAAGCACAATCAATAGTTTCAGTTATTCATTGCAGATTGTTACCAGTTACATTTTGTTTTAGTTATTTAATCTATTTTTGAATTGATATGCAGGGTAGTTTAAATATTTAATTATGAATGAGTTGTTAATTTATTTATGTTTGCATTTACATATGTTGACCAAGGTTTGGTTTCAGGTCTGTGTATTAAAAGGATTTGGAAGATGTTATTTGAAGGGTAATTTGCAGGCTCTGACCATCATTATTGCACATTAAAAAATAATATTTAATTTACGAATTACTATATATTATAATAAAAAAAGGTAAATGGTGATTTAACATATATTTGTTTTGTTAATTTGGTAATGAGGTGAATATGAAAGGATATTTTAGAAAAGAAGGAAAAGAGAGAGGAGGAAAGATATTGAGTGGTGAAAAATGTGAGAGTTTAATTTTTACTCATGAATGGAAACTGAGTTTTTCACGTTCACAGGTTTATTCATGTCAGATTTGTGACACAGTTGGAGATGGAATTGAATTCTTAAATTTCAAATCCAAACAAACGCCTCTGACCCGATAGTTCAGTCACAAAATCTGCATGTGCTGCGTCTTTGCTTACCGCGTCCCACACTCCTCTCTCTTTAATGCTTATACGATAAATTGAGAGAAAAGAGGAAGAAAGTTATGAAAGAAGAGAGAGAAAAACCTGCAGTATCCTAGGCCCTTTCTTTGTTTCCTTTTCAACTTTTTCAGTTACTATTTTCCATTCATTCAAATCTATCCATTAATTTATTTCCCCTTCTTTTTTAATGCCACTTTGTATTCTCCTACAACTATAAATATTTATCCTTCCACACCCACCACTCCCACTCTCTCACGTACACACCCCTCCTTCCCAATTACACTCTCCACTTCTCTCTTCATTTTAACCACCCACTCCCTCGTTCCATCTTCAATTCTATGCAATCAACCCAAATGATGTGAAGAATGTGATCTCGTCAAAAGCTTCACCACTTGTTTATTTCTTAGAACTTGGCTTTCGCTCCTTATTGTTCTTCTTCGATTTGGATTTGGATCTGGACATGGCGATTGAAGCACAGTTGTATCCCAGCAGTCAGTTTTATGGGTCAAAGAATTTAATGGTAGACAATGTCCAGAGCTGTTTCAATTCTCAACCATATGCTCATAAGCATCATCTGCAACAACCAGGAGAACAACAACGTATACAACATCTACATCATTCTAGGCCCATGAGTCAAACCTTGTCTCTTGTTGATCCCACCTTTTCTTGTTTTTCTAATTCAAATATCCACCAGAATGCTTTCGACAACAAGTACAATCACAACGCTCAACCTTTACCCTCGTATTCTCTAAACTTGGTTGCTCAACTTGATGAACAGAGAGAGATTGATCACTGTATCAGATCTCAGGTTGGTTTCATATAGTATTAATCTATTGAGGAACTTTGCTTGCATTACATCAGCAAACTTTTCCAAGGTTTAAAAACTTCGATCACCGTGATTTGGGCGGCAATTTGGGATGTCCAAAGCCATAACGCCACGGAAATTGTGACCGTATCGGTTGTTTTTATCTGCAATTTTTGCGATATCAAGGAACTGCTATTTAAAACCTTGATTTTTTTTTTGTCATCGAACAATTGAGAAATTTGTTCGCTAGTTTAAGTTTGCAAACATTTTTTGTTATCATAGGTTTGTGTCAAATCCAGTCTAATCGGTGTTTTTTTGTGTTTGTGCAGAATGAAAACTTGAGAATTTTGCTGCAAGAGCAGAGGAAAAAGCACATGGCGGAGTTAGTGAAGAAGATGGAATTGAATGCTCTTCAATTGTTGAGACAGAAAGACGAAGAAATAGTGCAAGCAACGCAGAAAACAACGGAGTTGAAAGAATTTTTGAGAAGGTTGGAAATAGAGAAGGAATCGTGGCGAAAGGTGGCTGAGGAAAACGAGGCAATGGTATTGTGTCTTCATAACAACATAGAACAGATGAAGGAAAGAGCAGTGTATGGGATGACATCAGAGGATGCAGAGTCGTGTTGCGATGATAACATGAGAATCACGGCAATGGGGGAAGGTACAGGAGAAAAGAGAGTGTGGCGTGGTGGGGTAGGAGAAGTCGAACAAATTGGGAAAATGACAATGGATTGCAAATGTTGTAATTCTCAAAAATCGTGTTTTATGTTTCTTCCTTGCAGGCATCTCTGTTCGTGTAAAACTTGTGAGCCTTTTCTGCAAGTTTGTCCTGTCTGTAGTACGCCCAAAAAGTCTAGCATAGAGACTTTAATTGTATGATACTTTTAACATCACATAGTTTTATACAAAATTACCTTTTTCTTAGTATCAGATTTCCAGTAAAATATCAACACATGATGGTCTCTGCCTTGGTGGGTGGCAACAACATCTGTTGCATTTTTTACCCTGGCAAAACAATTTGTACCTTCCATGTTTCAAAATTTTTGCATCATTTGCCTTTGTTTCTCTGTTACTTTGGTAATCGTTCTAGCCTCTTTTACGATTCCCTTTCATCACAGGCAATGAATATGAATAATTATAAGTAAAATTTAGGATTATATGCATCAGATTCAAGAGGGATTCCTGATAGCAAGTAGGTGATGAATGGTCAATTCATACTTACTGCCATTTCCTAGATATTTTAAACCGATGAATGGTCAATTCTTGATTCTGTGCCATCTTAGTTTCTCCCAGTATTTTCACATAAAAGCTGTTCATAGGCCAACTTTATCATTATCACCAGATACTTGTGAATCAGTAAAATAAAAATAAAAATTATAACTGTTGTTTTTATATTGTGATTGAAATAAAGAGTAGATTTGGAGGAAAAGAAGAAGAAGAGAAATAGAATACCAAATAAGATGCTTGAATATTTATTTAAAATAAGATAAAAAAAGTACACATTTTTTGTAGTTGATTATATTTATTTTTAAAAATAAAGGAAATATATCAATTGAATAATTTAACGAATTATCAAAATATTTTTAATAATAAAAAAAATAAAGTACGAAGTGATTATTTTTAAAAAAATTATTTAAAAAATTAAATAATTAATTACAAATTTAAAATTTATTCAAGCATATTAGAACTTTTAAAATTACAAAATTCCAATCATATTTAAACTATTAAATAAATTTTTTATAATTAAAATATAAAAAATAATATTTTAAAAAATGATACACATAAATAATTATGAAATAATCTATTATAAAAAACATAATCAATTATGAAATAATCTATTATAAAAAAATTACACATAATCAATTATAAAATAATCTATAATTATTATATATATTGAATCGGGAAGTGTATCTTGAATTAATAAAAAAATATTGATGCATGGTTTTTTTCTTTTTACTCGTACATGTAAATAAGTTTTTCACATTTTCCATATTTACAAATCAGCTCATATGAATTGATACGAATATATAACTTCTTTTCCAAATCAACTCAATGAATTGATACAATTATATAATTTCTTTCCAAATCATTGCAAATCTTTCCTCAAAAATTAATTTTTAACCAACACATAGTCTTAATTAGAGTATATGTACCAAATATTTTCTTATGATGTTATTCCATTACAAATTATAATATATATTAATTTTATTTATTTTCCTAATAATTATTAAACATGATTTACAATTAAATCATCTACAAATCTGACATAAATAACACACACTCTCATTAAACCGAAAGCATTAAATATTTTTATGTTTGTAAGACATAAAATGCATTTATTTTTGTTTTTTAATATTTTTTCTAATATATATATAACCTCCTTCTATTAATAAATAAGAATATTGATAAATAAAATTTGTGAAAAAATAATGATTATTTTCCATTTTAATATGAATACAATTATACACTTAAAGTTTTCAAAATTTATCGATTTGAATGAGTTGCTCAAATAAACTAAACTAAAATTATTTAGGTTTAATTTGAATAGTTCTACGAGTGTGTAATTTAGTTCTTAAGTTTAGTTGTGCTTTGATTATCTGTTTCCTAAAATTAAACCATATTGATTTACTATATTATATAGGAAATAAATAAAAAAGGAGTGGTGGGTGACCACCATGAAAATTTTGTCGAAACAAATTATAGTACTTTTTTTAATGGAATGATAAAGAATGAATGGTGCATTTTTTATTTCAGCACCAATTTTACCAAATATTGTCAGTCACTGAACTCAACAATAGTTTAAAATTTGAGGAATAATTTATATTTTTTTTGATAATTTTTATCATATATATGTTTATTAAGCTCAATTTTTTATTTTTCAATGATATCAAGAAAATTTGTTTTTCATTAAATAGTTGTTATAAATTGTGGATAATATTATAATTGATTGAACATTTTCAGTTTAGTTATCCTAGTTATTTTATTTAAAATGTCAAATGTAAATATTAATATGCTAAATGGTTTAGAAAATATTAAAGAGATTTTTTAATAAATTAGAAATACGGGATAAGATAACTATTGTGTTTTCCGCAAAATGAACTTTGTATTTATGAATATTTGTCTTTTATTTTTCATCATTCGATAAAATGAACAAAGTTTTAATAATGTAGCATGGTCAGTCTTTGATTAAACTTTAAAAAATGCACTGTTTTTTAATAGTAATATTAAAAAATTTAAATGAATATAAACATTATTAGAAAGAAAAAGTTATAAAAATATTAATATTATTAAGAATCCGAAACAAATTGTGGTGTAAATATTTTTTTTTCATATGATAAAATAGTTTGATAATATTTTTTATATATGAATTGTTGTATCGAGGAATTTTCCAAAATTAATGATACGGATATTTATCTTCTTATTATACTTTGAAGATACATAGTCATTAATAAAAGTAACTATTGTAAATATTTTGAAAATAATAAAATAAATAAAACCATGAATATAAAGGAATATAAAAATAGGACGAAGATTGAGAATCCATTTATAGTTCAAACTTTGAAAGAAACGATTTTTATAATTTCACTAGTTATCCTGTCTCATTCTCATATGTGAAACAAATAATTAAGAATTGTTTCAGATATTAATTCATAACAATAGGTAAAGATTACAATGATTACAAAGAAAACTTAAACCAGAAGCATTTGCCTATGTTTTTTTATGCCATCCACAAATCTGAACAGTAGAAGTTCTGTAGCATTAGAAAATTCAGTATTCCTGAGGGTGATAAAGCTTACATTTTTCAGTTTTATACAGTTGATAACGAATTAAAGAATCTGAATTCCCATGGCGTATACAAATGTTGATAGGATTAGTTTCTTTAGACTAACCTCTGCTGCTACAGAAAGGTCATATGATATCTGCGTCCCAATTACACCAGTTCAGTGAGGAACTCGTGAGCATGATGTTGTGTATACATCCAATATAGACTTGAATTGTAAGCATTTGGTGATGAATTTGGTTATAATTGAAACTGCACTCAAATCGTGAGAACTAAAATGAAAAACAGGAACTCGTGAGCATGATGTGTGGGTCTTTTTCAGGGAAATTAACATGAGATTAACTTACTATTCTTAACCCAAAACCTTAAAATATTGAATGATGAATTATACTTTCTTATATCTTACTTTAACTTTTTCAAATTTTTTCATTCTGATTTAATGTAAGATTTAACTTACACTTTAGTTTTAATTGAAACTGCACTCAAATAGTGAGAACTAAAATGAAAAATAGTTCATCACGAAATAGGCCTCTGAAGGTAGATTCCTCCGCACAAGATACAAATCCAGAAGTGGACCTTTGGTGGGAGCGGTATCTCATTATGATTGACGGGACCTTTAAGCGGGACAGATTTAGTTTCGTAGATTGAACACGAATTTGGATGCTCTAAAGCCTCTCTCCAATTTACAAATCCACCTTCTGTAGCTAAATTATAAAGAACTCTCACCTTAATAACTGTTTTAAAAACAATGTCAAATGTTGTTTTAAAAACCTGAGATGAAAGAATGCCACGCAGCAATACAATCCTTTTCCCAACCATTTATGAGGATTTCAAATGACCAATCTTGATAGTTACGAAAAGAAACAGGCTAATATTTCATCTTGTTTTTGTTGTCAACACAAAAGTAGGAATGACATACTGAAGTGAAGTCCAAGGCATCATCGTATACATAAAACTCAACAGTATTGATAAAATCACATCGAGAAATATTATAGACAAAGAGACACGCAGTTCTCAGCAACAGAATCATTGAACTTATATATGCTTGCTTATACACATTCAAATGCAAAGTAAACAATTAACAATCAATTTCACAAGTTGCCTGGATGATATACTTCCTCTAAACAACCAATTTTCTATCTCAAGAATCTACTTTATCTAAATACTAAAACGTTGTTCGTAGGGGAAAAAAAGGACCTTGCTGATTAAAGATATCTTAATACAGACTAAACCCAAAAAACTGGCTAACAATGATAGCAAATCCGAGGGCTATTGCAATAAGGGAAGAAGCCCAAGTGAGCTTCTCTGTTATTCTAGGTACTCTATCCTTCAGTGCCTCGCTACACGAACCAATAAACACAGTATAGCTTCCCATTGCCATTACAGTTCCGATTAAGAACATGACAAGAAAAGCAGCACCGGCCAAACGAGAAGGCAGAGCAAGGGCAGGCAACACCATCATCAATGCATCCGGTTGCAGTCCATGAACTATCCCTGTGGCAAAAGTAGCAAATCCAATCTTCTTTTTACCTACTGTTGGATTATCATGTGATTCATATACGCTAGCATCACATTCACCACTTTCTAATGCAACACGTGGGGTATGTACTTCTGAAGCTTCTCTAATTCCCATAGCACCAATTATCAGCAGGGTTAGACCCACCACTCTGGTGCCCCAAGTTCGGATAATTTCAATATGGAGTTTATCCTTGAGTATTAAAAATATTAACCCAAAAAGAACCTGACCAGCATCATGACCACAACCCCAAAGAGCTCCAACAGCAGCACTCTCCATTCGGGTTCGACCAATTGACAATGGTGCCAAGGCGGCTAGGTGGTCAGGCCCAGATAGTGTGTGCAAGCAGCCAGCGAAGAATCCAGTCCAAGCACTACTTAGGAGCTCAGTATGGATTAATTTTCTACCAACTGCAGCTGCAGCAGGACCACCAGTATTGGCAGAAGTTTGAAAGGTTGCAAAAGCTGCTGGTGCAATAGTAGGTTGGATTAAGATCAAAGCAACGGCAGAGAGTATTACAAGAGTCCGAGCTGATATTGCCTGAGACAAAAAGCATAAAAACATGTTTTCGTAAGATCTATTTATACATCATAATTTAAAAAGATCTAGGACAAAGAAAAATGTATTATCACGAAGAATATCATCCAAAACAAAAATTAAACAATAAACCGAAATATGCTACACTTTCTGTATATCCGAGTATGTATTCAATTACATCTAACTCACAAGTAACTTGATGATCATGTTTTTTTGGCACAAATATGTACCTAATGACAGAAACCGATCAAGCCATAAAGGTACAAACATTTATGAGACCACCAAGAAGCTAACAACTTGTCCTACCCTAGTCTCAAATCGGAGTCATGGATTTGTTTGTCACGTTAGAAAAGAAGAAAAAACAGAAACAGGGTTACAGATTGAAACAGTAAAAGAACTGCTTAATAAGTTTGCAAGCAACAAGGCCCTTAATTGTAAGTTCGTGAAGAAGATTCTTCACCCTCAGCACAGATATCAAATTCGAATGGCATTTTAAAATGTAAAAATTGTATCCCCTCCTACATGGAGATTTTATTTAATATTTAATTCAAAAAACAAATGGGGTTTCCTCACGAAAAATTAATTTGAAAAAATGACGAATGATATACAGATGAGAGGGAAAAAAAATAAAAGAGTAGTTCACAACAATGATTGCTCAGACCAAAATCATACCTTTGGCTTTTGGACAGTCCCTGTTTTGATTTGATTGAGAGAATGGGGTTGGGGTGTGGATCGATTGGGAGAAGGGGAAATGGATGGAAAACGATTGGGGTGTTTGGAAGAAGCAAGAAAGGGAGTGGAAGACGAAAAAGGAGACGGGTTTCCATGCTTGCAACAAATTGAGGTGACCCTCTTAAAGTCGGAACGTGTTAACGAAGAAAATTTGAGTATTGCAGTTGCAGAGTGAAATGAAGCGAAAAATGGGAAAGAGTTGTTGCAAGTTTTGAAAGAAGGGGGTGAAGGAGACGATAGAAGCCTATCCATGTTCTTTTCTATCTACAAAAACGCAAATGAAGAGAACAGAACAAAACCGAACGTAGATTCTCTCCTTAAAATAAATCAACCTATTACCTAACCCTCCTTTTATTTTTTATTTTTATTTTTTCCTTTCTTAGTGTTCTTCCGAAAACCAAAAACAATGTTTAAGATATAGTTCCATTGAGATATGTTGAATCTATCATTCTCAAAACTCATAAAACTACTGAATATCTAATTTTAGCTGCGTATTTTGAACAAAAAAAAAAACATTTTAACTTCAGAAAAACATAATTGAATTAAATTGATAAGTGACTTTCAATAAATTATTTTTAAAATCAGTAATTCTGTACTGATTTAATTGAATTTAAAAACACAATAGAATCAATATGATATTTTCAACTAATTCAAATTGAATTTGTTGAACCTAAGATCTAATTTGGATAACCTGAAAAACAAATATAGATGAGGATATTTAGTTTTGGACAGCGCAAAATACAGATGTGTAAATGCAATCTCGTTCTGGTGTTACCATAATTTGGTATTTGAAATTAATTCTTTCATTTGATATGATTTACAATTGAAAGCAACAAGAAGAAGCAAGTGGTATGAAGAAAATTCCTAAAATGAATGCACCATATTAAGTCTTAGGCAGATGTCATTTTTGACTGGTCGAACAATAATAATAAAAAAAAAAACTTGTGTTTTATATATTTATTTTGGACAAGAATATGATTTATGTATGTGTTTTATTACTGAGATGGATCTGTGTTTGTTTGGGCCACTAAGTTTGGTGAGATAAAGTCCAGATTCAAGTAAGAAAAAGGAGACAAATGAAGAAAAGAACAAAAACAAGACCCTGCACTCCACACGATCACCCACTTTTTAACGTGCGCTTTCGTGTGTTAGGCACACACCCCTCACAATGTACCCACTCGCCATCCTGGCACACAAAACACATATTTCAATGTTAATGTTATATACAAACATCTTTCGTCCATTTTTTGTTTCAATTTTTATAATAATTTAAACTTATTAAATCAGTAATAATAGGAAGAGTATAATAGTTTTTTTTTATTGTTAAGATATTGTAATTAATATTTTATGTAATTTTTATTTGAATTACACGCAACGATTATTTTTATTTGAGTATATATTTTAAAACAATATTTTTAAAAAATATTATTTAAATTTTATTAATAAAAATAAAATATCCATAAATAATTTGCAGGTATTTTTTAAACTTATACTAAATATATTCATAAAATGTAACGTCAAACTATAAATTTGGTTGAAGTATCTTAGTCAATCATAACCTGTTCTACTGTGCACTACCATTTAGAAAGATTTGACACACAACTTTGATACAGAGCTCATACTAAACTATTGCTACACTAAATATTCATCAGTGTTATAGAAAAAATAAGTATAACATTTCTATTTTATAATAATAAATAAAATAATTCATTTGTTTGTAAATAGTTTTAAATTTTGTAATAGGTATCATATGTATAATAACCTTTTGTAACATGTATAATAATATGTACTGTAAACATAATAATAACTTCTTCTTTTTTTGTTAGAAAAATGTTATATTTATCTTTTATAATCTTTATTATTTTGAAAACAAATGTATTTTCCTTTTTGCTAATTTTTTAGTTTATATTATATTTTTAAAAAATTTATTAGTAATTTTACCAAAAAAATAAACTAAAGAATTATAAAGTTTTTTCAGAAAAAAAAATCAAATTACAATATTTAAGTATTTGATACGCTGGATGGACTTTGGGCCTTAACCCATATGAGTTAAAGTGGGCCACTTGAGTAATCTTCCTGATACCACACACGGTTGCTTTTTTTTTTTAACAACGATAATCTTATAAAAATAGTAATTTAAAGCCGCTGTTATTTATTTTAACATCTCCTTCTTTTTTATTCTTTCTAATATTTTTTTAGTAGACGTGATTATTGACAGAAACTCTTTAATATTTAGTTTTAAATAGGTTGACAAAAGATCCCTAACTAGAAAAGACTTCTTCCCATAATATGTTCAGTTATAACGTTTGATAATGTATGGGGTGAGTTTGGAAAATGTAGAACATTGTTGGTGTTTTTCTTACACATGTAAGGGTGTTTTCATTAGAGATACCAGCAGTTAATAAAGTAAGAGTAACATGTTGATTTAAGACTCTAATTATTCCATTCTACAATTATTATCATTTATTATTAGAATGGAGGATAGTATTATGAATGTTCCACGAGTGGTATTTTTTAATGTTTGATTGGTGCATTTTAATCAGAAAAGCAAGAGCTGCAAAGGTGATCTTCCATGATAAATAAAGCATGACTCAATAATTCACAAACAGCAAAGACTAATATAATGGCGGAGTCTACGTCCACCGCCACTAGCAGCGCTCTCAGGTTACAGGGCAAAGTAGCCATAGTCACCGGAGGTGCCAGCGGCATCGGCGAAGCAACGGCGTGGGTGTTCGCGGAGGAAGGAGCGCGTATGGTGGTGATCGGTGACATCCAAGACGAGCTGGGGAAAGAAGTGGCGGCGTCCGTTGGAAGGCACAGGTGCAGCTACGTTCACTGCGACGTGGCAGAGGAGGACGAAGTCCAAAGACTGGTCGAATCAACGGTCAAGGAGTACGGTCAACTGGACATAATGTTCAGCAACGCTGGGACCGCTAGTCCCTCCATGCAGACGGTGACGGAGCTCGACATGTCCCAACTCGACAGGCTGTTCGCGGTGAACGTGCGCGGAATGGCGGCGTGCGTGAAACACGCGGCGCGTGCCATGGTGGAGGGGCGCGTGAGGGGAAGCATAGTGTGCACGGGAAGCGTGGCTGGTAGCGTCGGTTCCCTGTCTAGGACGGACTACACGATGTCGAAGCATGCGGTGTTGGGGCTGATGCGTTCGGCGAGCATGCAGCTTGCGGAACACGGGATAAGGGTGAACTCCGTCTCGCCGAATGGGTTGGTCACACCGTTGACTTGTAAAATGTCTGGGGTGAGGGAGGAGGAGGTGCGAGAAGCTTACCGGAAATACGCGAGACTGCAGGGAGTGGTGCTGACGCCGAAAATGGTGGCAGACGCGGTGCTGTTTCTGGTCTCTGACGAGTCGGCGTTCGTGACTGGCCTTGATCTTAAGGTGGACGGCGGCTTTACTTACGGCGGGCAGTGATGATTGCCCTTTTGCATGTATTAATTTTACATATATTCCATCTTTATGAATCACAAAGAATCATGCTGGACTGAATGCACGCATGTGAACTTCAAATTAATGGTACGCTTCTCATTGTGATTTTCAAAGACTAACTCGGTCTCCTACTACAACCCTATTTTACTCTAAATCCAGGATGACTAAATTGTATCAGTCGCACACATACCGCCTGCCATGTATACATACATAGGCTTAAAATATCTGATTCTCTTACAATGAAAAAATTCAGGTGATTAAAACCTTAAGAGCTTATACAGATCCAACTAATCAATTTACAATTAGCCCAAAACTCAAAACACAACAAACATTATATACTTAAGTTTGATTAGTATTGGCTAACTAGTTACTTAAATTATGTGATGATTAAAGAAGTTAGCAGAAATTAATGGGATCGCTGTTAGAATCTTGATAAATTTAGTTGAAGTGGATCATGGCTGGTTGATCCGTAAAATTAGTTTCATGAGCCTTAAATGTGCTTTGGTAAGTATGCAGCTTGTATAAACCACAAGTTGCATAAATAACCCTGTTTATGATATGTTCAATGTTTCAGAGTCGAAATTGGGCATACAATTTTTGAGATCTGCTTTGAAAATCATAATTTATTATTATTATTATTATTATTATTATTATTATTGTAAAATGATTACAATATCATATCTCATATTGAAAGTCTATCATATGGAATAAAATGTTGTCACATTCACTAATAAGTCAATTAAATTAAATTTTAAAATAAAAGCATAAAATAAGTTTTCAAGAAAAATGATTTGGATCCTCTATTTGAAGAGTTAGGGTTCAAAGACTGTGTCAATGAAATTTTGGTGTGATAATGAAGGTGTCATCAGAAGTATGTGTTTGACGAGAGAACAAAACACTTTTGGAAGCAAAATCTTCCTTCACTGGGAACTACAGACTCCTCCTGTCCTGTCTAATGGAAATGCGAGAATAATAACATAAAAGAATTACCCGTGCAAAATAAATTTGTTATGAGCTGTTATTTGAAACCCTTGATAAGTGCCAAAAGTTTGAGCCTCGGGTGATAAGGTTGAATTGGAAACTGCCAAAATGGAATCAGAACAAAGTCTTGCATGTCTGTCACCTGTATTATTGTGTCAGTGTTTGTTAGATAATAGAGCCCCATTGATTCTTACCTAATTACCCATTAAGATCATTATTAATTCTAATTCAGAAAGGAGAGAATGATTGGCCCTCTGCATTCCTGTCCACACCACAAAAGCTGAAACTGAAAATAATTAACATTTAAAACCGTCCCTGGTATTGTTGGTGAAGGTCCATATCATATCATATGATCTAACCCAATATCACTTTCGAAGGTTGTGGTTGTTGACTAGTGGGCGTGACGTTAATCCTATTGCAAAATTGTCAAAACAAATTCAAAACACTGAAAAGACATATATTAGGAGGTGATGGATTAAATTAAAGGTAGCATATCTTTTATTAGAAACTAGTACTTTAAAAGGCCATGGATTAAATACAGGTAGAAGGACATGTACTGGGTATGAAATAGTCTACATCCCTGAAAACATGGGACAATGATAAGGTGGTAACGTAGTTGTTGAGTTGGTGTTGGTGTTAGTAGTCTCAACAATCCCAAGAGAGCCAATCTGCTGGTGCCACGCTGTTAAAGACAGAAACAGCATAAGCATATTCCTAGGTTCTCACGCTTCTCACTAATTTCTTACGGAGAAACAAGTCAAACACTCGGCACCGAAAACCAAACTCAACAGCAACAGCAACAGCAACAGCATCATCTACTTTTGAAGTGACACCTTTTGTTTTGTTTTGTTTTGCTTTTGCTTTTGTTGAAACAATCCGTAGTAGTTTCACGGAGGATACTATTACTGCGCCTAAAATTCAATGGCTGATCCACGGCCGTTGCTGCTCAACGATTCGGAGCCAACTCAATTCCAGAACGCCAGACCCACCCGAATCGCCTCCCTTGACGTCTTCCGCGGCCTCTCTGTTTTTGTATCCAATTCTTTCACTCTTTCTTTCTTCGCTTTCAAACAGTAAAAGATCTTCTGCTTTTGTGAACTGACAAACGCTTTCCCTTTCTTGAATTTCAGCTTATGATATTGGTGGATTACGGGGGTTCCATCTTCCCCATCATTGCTCATGCCCCCTGGAATGGGATTCACTTGGCTGATTGCGTCATGCCATTTTTTCTCTTCATTGCTGGAATTTCTCTTGCACTCCTTTATAAGGTGCTTATTCTATTGCCACTCCTTTTCAAATACGTTTTCTGCTTTCCTCTCCTCATATCTATCCAATTAATTAAAGGTCTCTTTTTTCCTACCCTCGTAACACGTCAGAGAAGGCCGCAGAGAACACAAGCTACATGCAAAGCTTTAGCTAGAGCAATCAAACTATTTCTTCTTGGTATTGTTCTTCAAGGTAATATCTTCTTACTCACTCTTCTATATCCACACTGCCGTATTTTTCAATTGAATGTTGCGTGTTATGTCTGTATAAAAACTATGCTCTCCTGATTTTTCTGTTCTGTCCAACTGTTTTTTCTGTCGTTCTAGTTTCATCGCCTCATTAAACAATATGTATTCATTTCAGGTGGCTATTTTCACGGAATAACTTCCTTGACTTTTGGTGTTGACATTGAAAGAATTCGGTGGTTGGGAATTTTACAGGTAACTTCATCCATTAGTTGACTGTACAAAGAAATATTACTGATAGTTGTTGGGATATATGACTATACCTCGTGACTAATGGTTGATATCGGTATTTTTTTTTTATTATTCATATTATTTGATGTAGCTAACGAATTTGATATGATTATCTATGAATCCAGAGGATATCTATTGGATACATTGTTGCAGCTTTATGCGAGATCTGGCTTCCACCTCCTCGATGGAAAGAAAAAAATTTATTCAGAAGTTACTATTGGCATTGGTAGGGCTTTCGTATCAGTACTATTAAATTTGAGGGCTCTAATATGTCGATATCTGATTGCCATGTTAATCAAGATCGTCTCTAAACCAAAACCGTCCTTGATAAGTATAATTTCAGACACCTATTATTGCCACAGGATGTTTAAAAGTAAAACTTAACAACAGGCACTTTCCAAATTCCAAATTCTCAACCCAACGATGTTAGTAGAAAATTAAATAAACTTAAATAGCAGGATCATTCCATTTCACGTTGAATGAAGTTGCCAAAACGCATTTGCTCATCATTTTACAAATATTTTAATGCAGGTTTGTTGCGGTAATATTGTTGGCACTTTACTCAGGATTATTGTATGGACTATATGTTCCAGATTGGCAGTTTGATGTATCAGCCTCAACCTCTTCGTTGCCTCCTGTTGGTGGTAGTGATATTTACACGGTGAGAGTTGGCTCCGCACCCTTCACTCTCCACCCTGCTATCTTTTATTTGCTTCAATTTCTGTTCTGCATTTGATTTTCATGCTTCTTAATATTGAAAATTTCTTAGTTAAAGAAAATGGTTAGCGTTTGCTAGGCACTTAACGGTGGTTAGGGTAGAAATGTGTACGCTGTATGAAGCACCGATACGTCGATTTGGTTCACAAATCCGTATCCGATATATATAGTATCGGATATTTCACCAATACTACAATGATCAAGTATTCAAATATATGAAAAATAAATATTTTTATTTGTTTTACAAATAAAATTTGTAGATAAAAGATCATCGAAGTATTTAAATTTATGAAACATCATTATTTTTATTTGTTTTACAAATAATATTTTTAGATAATTTATTGATGTCAATGTTAATTAAACATCAAAACTTTTAAATTATCTATAACCTATAAATTTTATTTTTCACACATCGAAGAAAATAATTGCTTTTATAAATTATTTTAAGAAATTAATGAAAATAATGGTCTTATTTCTATATGTAAACAACATAAAAATATTTTTTAATGATAATTATTTATATTTTTTTATTAGTATCCTATTTTGTTTAGAATATAACGTATTGATACTCGTATCATATCCATTTATCTCGATTCTTCAAGTTACAGGTAAGGGGTGATATGTTTCTAATTTTGAATTTTACTCTGTAGTTAGCTGTCCTGTGCTTATTAATTCTCAAAAAGCTTACCTGCTTTTTCATGTTTAAAATTCATTTGTTTGAGAATATAGTGGTGCTATAATTCAAAATATTTAATTAACGGCGCATTCAATGTTCTCAACTCAATATCAGGTGAATTGTTCAGTGAGAGGTGATCTTGGACCTGCTTGTAATTCTGCTGGAATGATAGATCGCTACATTCTTGGTCTTGGGCATCTGTATAGGAAGCCCGTTTACAGAAACCTCAAGGTATCTTATTGTTGATTCCATTTCTTTGTTCAATAGCGTAATGCGACATGTTAATTCCTTGTTGATGATACAACTTCCAGGAGTGCAAAATGTCTGCTAAGGGTCAATTTTCAGATAGTTTACCTTCATGGTGTCATGCTCCTTTTGATCCAGAAGGCATTTTAAGGTAATCAATCGAAACTTCTGATATTTCCCTGTGATTCCATCAGTTGAAGTCCTTATGTAGAGTTGCCCTTTCTATCCTGAGACAGTTATGCTGTATGCAACCGGAAGCTTCTTTAGCAGATTAAAATTACCTCCTTTCTAGTCTGTTATCTCATGAATTACAATCGTAAATAGAGTTCTAATAGAATGTTGTTTAAATGAAATCACACTCGTCTGATACTTGATCTAGAAGTTTGGAGAAGAAATACCTTTAAGAAATCTCCTTTAAGCAATTTATTCCGTTAATATTACCATGGTCCAAGCAATATTGTTCTAATTTCTAAATCAAACTTAATTGATTTTTCTTTTATACCCCTATGATAAAAAAGACCTCCTTGCTTGATTTGTGCTATAAATAATTTTACCAAATGCTTGGATCTAGAAGTCCTTTGTTAGGGCAGGTTCAATCACCATAATTAAGTATTTTACTCTAAATTACTTTTGTGGCGTCTCAGTTGATATTCATCTACAGGCCTTTATTCTTTGGAACAGTCATTCTTACCTGACCGACCCAAATTTCTGTGACTTATCATTTTTGCATTTGTTCCTTCTATTGTATTCTAGCTTCCATGATTGTTTGAATAACCTAAAAGGTTTGCTTTCTACAGAACAAATTGTAGATGTTGATCATCTACATATGTTTTTCTGGTTCTCACATTCTTTTCAGAATTTTTACTGATAGTCTGGCAAGAAAATATTCATTGAACAGAAAATTATGTATAGGTCGTAGTTTTTATGTCAGTATTCGAGTTACATTGACTGGTAATGATTGATGATAGTCTATAATTCTTTTCACTTGTTCACAGCTCCATAACAGCAGCAGTTTCGTGCATACTTGGACTTCAATATGGTCACGTTCTTGCCCACCTACAGGTGAGATCATGTATCGAGTTTCCAAACCTCAATAGCCTGTAAAATTTACCATTTTCAAGATATGAGTTCTTTAAATCCTAACTATATATAGTCTGATAGCGCACTTCCCATTGTGGATTGTTTTTGGCATTGAATCATCTGCCGTATATGTTCTGTAAAATTGTGGCTTTGATTTCTTGGTTGGCTATTGGGTAGTGCTATATCAACTGACCTTTTTCTGTTCTGTGTGCTTGTCCTGTAGGATCACAAAGAGCGCCTATACAACTGGATGTGTTTTTCCCTTTCATTTTTGGCTCTTGGTTTGATCCTGGCTTTAATAGGTCCGTGCTGTAAACGTGTGTGGGAATCTTCAGTTCGCGGAACTCCCACTAGAAGTTATTCACTAATAATAACTCGCATATTCTCTCTTCATAATCATGATTGTTCGGATTTTAAGCAAATCAACTTCCTTCTATGCTCATTGATATTGATCTTTCTTTTACCCTTTTTACCTTTTGTTTTCAGGAATTCCTCTAAATAAATCGCTGTACACCGTCAGCTATATGCTACTAACTTCTGCAGGTTCTGGTCTCACGTTCATTGCTTTATATTATCTGGTGAGTGGCATGTGCTATTACGATAGAAAACTACAGAGACAGAGATATTACATACAATTCCTGCTTTATTTATTGGGTTCTATGTTAGTGTAGCTTGAAGATTTAACCTATGATCTCGTGCGATTTTCCAAACAGACCAATACCTCATCCCGAATTACATACTATTTACAGTACCGTACATGTCATTGATCTGCAAGTTGATTTATTTTTTCTTTGGCTCGTTGGTGCAGTTTTCTTCGTCATTATCTTTCATTTCATTAGTCGTGACGTATGCGTCGTGTTTTGCAACATTAAGTTTTGCCCAATCTAGTTCCATTTTCTGACCATAGGTGTCATGTTTTCTTTGAAAAGAAAACCAATATGACTATATTGTAATTCATTTACCCTACTGTAGGTAGATGTTCATGGCCACAGGCGTTTGACAGCGGTGTTGGAGTGGATGGGAAAACACTCTTTGAGTATATTTGTCGTCGTGTCTTCAAACCTGGCCGTGATTGCTATTCAAGGATTTTATTGGAATAAACCCGAAAACAACCTTGTAAGATACTGTTGCATGCTTCTGTTTTATGCTATAAAATGTTCCTGGTCCCCCCAACAATAATTTGACCATTACTTTTACTCCTCGCAGATAAACTGGATTGTGACACGTTTTCGACCATACATAACGTCCTCGTATTCAGCTGGTGTTAGATTTTGATGCCTTGCCTTTTCATAGTGTACATATTGAAACGAATAGAAGGAAGAAGCATACAAAACAAAACCATAGGCATTGCAGTAAGGTTCTTCTTTAAGTGGTTATTGAAGTGTATAGGTGGTACTTTTGGAATTTTGCACGACATCAACCGTAACTTTTCCTTCACTATGACCATGCAATTGTGAAATCGTTATTGCAACTTTAACGTCGATCTTCAACACTAAAGTGTTACCACGATATCGTGAAATGATTAAATTTTTGTATTTTATTAATATTAAAGTTAATTTATCTTTATCAATTAAAATATCATTCATTAATATTTTCTATTTTATGTTATATTTTTTATTTTAATTCTTTATTTAATATTTTAAAAATATTTTTAAATAAACGTTAAAAGTAGTATGAATGAACAGTGCTTATTCAGGTGGTACTGTGTCCTGAAGGATAAAGAATAATAAATAAATATGTGATTGAATGTTTTGATGTGTTGAAAAGCAAAGAATTAGAATCTGCATCATCATCAGTTGCTTCTGCAACAAATAAAGTAGAAAATGAAAATTGAAAATGAAATCAAAACGTTTTGGGAATTGTTCTTATAAAACCTGACAGCTAATGTCATTTAATATATTATGGCACTGCTATTGCTTCAGTCTTTCTCTTTCCACAACAGAATGTCTGAACTTGGACTCGGATAATACTTTTTTAAAACAATAATAAAAAAAATACTCTACTATTTTTTTTACTTAGGACTCACAAAAATAATCACTAACATTATAAATTTTATTCTAAACTATTTCAATAAATAAATCACTCAACTTGCAATACTTATTTATAATGTAAAAAAAATTGAAATTTTATTAAATTGTACAAAATTAACATCTCTTATTACCGATTATTATAAAACGACATCATTCAAGGAAAGTATATAAAAAAGATAATATATAATGATAAAATATAAAATAAAATAAAACATGAAAAAAATTAAGAGCTTTATTAAAAGATTGACACTAAAATGTGATAAAGTTAACAAAATAATGATAATTAACGTGCAATTAGGAAAGAAATGTGTCGAGTCACTTTAATGAATATGAAACATATTATCTTATCATCGTTAACACTTTTTGATGTGAAGTACATCACACCACTTGCTTTAGTTCCACACTTTCGTAAACAGTAAATAGAGTTTCATGTGGACCAAAAAAATGTTCATGATGAAAATTTTTTATTTACACGTGATTATACTAAATAATAAGAAGTTGTTTTTTTTTAATTGTTACAATTTTATATCTTCTATTCATAAGCTTTAATTTTACCGAAAAAAAAATCCATGATTGTAACTCATTTTAACCGAGCAAAGTATTAAAACTTTTTCTCTAATTATGTTTAATAAAATAAAATACAATAATTGCTGCTTAAATGATAAAAAAACATATTATGTTCCTCACTATATAATATTTCCTAAATAATTTAATACAATAAACTAAAATAAACTTATTCGGAATAATAAGGGATGAAAATAAATTTCCTTTTACAATATTTTTTTAAAATAAATCATTTTTTAACGTATGTTGGAATAGATAAATTGAGTTTTTATCAAGTTAAACATAATTCCATAACTCAGGTTTATTTATAATGTGTGACTCCGGCTTTTCATTATAACTTTTATTAAAAGTATTTATTGTAACAAGGTCTTTAAATATTGCATCTATTTTCAAATAACCTTATAAGTTTGACTATTTTATGACTAAACATCTTATTTTTTTGAAATATATAAATAACTATAATATTTCAATACATTATGAGAAAATTCCTCTCTTCTTTGTCACGTTGTATTTTATAAATAAAATTACATAAATTATACTCCAGAGGACAAAATAAAATAACAAACACTTAATAATATATATGATTGTCAATATTTCAATAACAATTTAACATTAGAATTTGTTAAACAAGGACGACGGCTTGAGTTGAACAAAAGCAAATTTAAAGAACATAGAAAGTTTAAACCTCCATTTTGCGAGTAATAGAAATTACAAATATGGATGATTAAATTGTACTTTATGAAGTTTTAAAATAATTAAGTGATAATGAAGCAATGAAGTGGTGTGGTGAAACTACATTTTAACCACGCGTGACTTTTGGTGAGAAATATTAGGACGAGACATCAATTTCGTAGCTTAGAAAGAAGAATATAATGGATGGAAATGGCATAATTTTGAATGGTAAGCAAAGCAAAGCAAAGCATCCCACACAAAATATGAGTTAATGGCGTGGATGGAGAAGGACAAAAGCATTAATATAGATGGCAGTGTAGAGGACAAGCTTGACATGCTTCTTTTCTCACGTTACGTTTCATCACTGTAAGAAAATAGTTTTAGCACATTCAAAGTTCCAATTAAAACTGTTATCATGGTAAGTGAAATAACGTAACATCTGAACGTGGCATGGAAACATTTGAATCCGTTATTAGAGAAGATGGTTTTACATTAATTAAAATATTTTGATTTGGGTGTCATTGGTTTTTGAAAGGAGTTGTTGAAGTGGCTTGTGTTGTGAGGGACCACAAGCCAAAGCAGAGCAGAAGAGAGAGACAGAGAGAGAGAGAGAGAGAGAGATTTTGGTTGGGGTTGAGAGGCCACTGTCCTCAAAACAAAACCTTTTACTCAACGGAATCCAATTTTCGAATTCAATCCCCGTTTCCTTTTCTCCACCTTCACACCTAATAAAACGCTTTTCTTTTTTCCTTTTCAAGTAATTCGTAAAAGAGTTCAAATAAAGTCTATGCTTTTTTAATCTGTTTAAAACCCTTTCTCAAAAATTAAATTTACCTTCGTATTATAAAAAAAAGCACTCATAAAAATGTTACAAAAATAATAATTTAAATAGAGACACATTAATATAGGAGGAACAGTGAGGAATAATAGTTATGTTTAATATGATATAATAAAGAGTAGATTTATTAAAGTAAAATTGTACTTTTGTAAATGCTAGATATAAAAAGAAGTTATTGGAATGACATGGAGGAAAAGAGAATAAATGAGAGAGATGACCGTTGTGGAAGGGGTTGCATGCCAGGCTGACATGAGAAGAAGGGATGAGGGGTAGGTCTGATGTGGGGTAGCCCTTAGATGATTAGCACTCACATGGTCACGCTGTTCACCCCTGTCCCACACTCTCTTTCCAACTCTTCTATTATTATTATTATTACACCCATCTCTTTTTTATTCCAAACTTGCCCTTCCACTATCCACACTACACTCAACTTCTTCTCTTCTCTCTCCCATATAAGCAAACCAACCCAACCCTGCTCTTCCCATTCTCAAACATACAACCTGTTCTGTTCACCAACACCACACACACACAGAAAATGTCGAAGGAAGTCAGCGAAGAAGGGCAACAAAGGAAGGACTACGTGGACCCTCCACCAGCACCTCTCATCGACTTCGCCGAGATTAAGCTCTGGTCCTTCTACAGAGCCCTCATCGCTGAGTTCATTGCCACACTCCTCTTTCTCTATGTCACCGTCGCCACCGTCATCGGCCACAAGAAACAGTCCGGACCCTGCGACGGTGTTGGCCTTCTCGGCATAGCCTGGGCCTTTGGTGGCATGATCTTCGTCCTCGTCTACTGCACCGCCGGCATTTCCGGTAAAAGACTAACCCTACTCTTACCCTTGACCCTAACCCTAACAAAACCCACCGCTTACGATTTTTTGTTGTCGACATTACATGAAACGGTTTTTGACTTTTTCTGAAAATGCATGAAAACGTGAACACAGGAGGACACATAAACCCAGCGGTGACTTTTGGCCTGTTCCTGGCTCGCAAGGTGTCACTGATCCGTGCGGTGTTCTACATGGTAGCACAGTGCCTTGGTGCTATCAGCGGTGTTGGGTTGGTAAAAGCCTTCATGAAGCACTCCTACAACTCCCTCGGAGGCGGTGCTAACTCCGTCAATTCTGGCTACAGCAAAGGCACTGCTCTTGGTGCCGAGATTATCGGCACCTTTGTGCTTGTCTACACCGTTTTCTCTGCCACCGACCCCAAGAGAAGCGCGCGTGACTCTCATGTCCCCGTATGTTCTCTCTCTCTCTCACACTCATTCAATCTTTCTCATTCCACAGTTACTCCTACACCCTAGGGTTGTGTTACTTTTAAATAAGAAAAATAATAAATAAATGTGTTTTTCAGGTGTTGGCCCCATTGCCTATTGGGTTCGCCGTTTTCATGGTTCACTTGGCTACCATACCCATTACTGGTACCGGGATTAACCCAGCTAGGAGCTTCGGAGCGGCTGTTATCTACAACAATGGCAAAGTTTGGGACGACCATGTAAGACTCTGACGTGGTTGCATGGTTGTATTATTTGAAATTACAATTTATAATGTATGGTTTGTGTTTGGTTGCAGTGGATCTTTTGGGTTGGACCATTCGTGGGAGCGTTGGCGGCGGCGGCATACCACCAGTACATACTAAGGGCAGCGGCTATTAAGGCGTTGGGGTCGTTCAGGAGCAACCCTACCAACTAGTTCTTGATGGAGAAGAAAGTGAAGAGATAGGATAGAGGAAGTTTAATTTGTGTTTGCATTCATGATTTGTTATTCGCTTGATGTGTGTGTATGTGATGATGACCAATTCGTCTTTTCCTTTGTAATTTACTATTTATTTATTATTATTACCATTTCTTTGGTTTGTTTGTATGAGATGAGATTATGACCGTTATTTAATTTTATATTTTATATGCTGCCGCCGCCGCTCTCTTTCCCTGGATGAGTCGTCGTCTTTGGCAACATAAATTCGTTCTTCCTCTTACCCCCTGCTTGTCTGTCTCATTTGTCTCTGCATACTTCAAACCCAGAAACAGTTACAATTGCCTATCACTGTCTTAATAAATATGTTTCTTAATGTGATTTCAAGTGGATCACGTCAAATGAAATTAATAAATCATCTTGTTCCCTCTCTCACTATATTATATATCCAATAACATGATTAAGTAATTTCGTTGTAAAAGTTACACAGTCGTAAAAAATATAATTTGGTGTAAAGTTTTAAGGTAGTTTTGTACTTAAAGTTGTAAATGAAAATCTGTGCTTTATTTTTGGTTTAAAGTTAAAGTGGGTGGTATGATGAAATTGTTGATGGGAGAGGCAGAAAGTGTGAGATGGCATGCACTCTGAAGGAGGTATCTGGTGGAGGGTATGGTAGAAATGGGTACACTCACCGCTTCGGAAACAGTGAGTGGGACTCGTATTCCCCAACCCAACAAAAAGTTGAAAAAAGAGAAAGCTGAAGAAGAAGCCTTAAAGGGAAATAGGCAACACCGGTAAGATTGTGTTGTATTCTTTTCTCTTCTCACATCACAACATCACGTGCCTCGTCCCACACAAACAAACAAACAAAGGAAAATCAAGCTGTAATTTTTATTTTATTTTATTTTTTCCCTTGTTAACTCTGTCAAAAGCTCCTTCAGCCATCGAAGCATTCTTGCAATTGTCCCCTTCACCCTTGTCTCTTTGCTTCTTCATGTCACTCCCAACGTTTAGCGTTTTCTTGTGGTGTAGGCCCCTTATTGCTTTGCTTACTCTTCCAAAATTCTTCCAGATTGAGAGACTAATTTGGTAATGTTATTCAGTCTTTACCCCATACTATATATCCCTATGTCAAGTTGCCATATACTTATTCTAAAATTAACATTAGGATACCTATAAATTATGTACAAGGATTCATAAAATAAAAACAAATCCAAATTAAAATCATTTTTTTAGATATTATCGTAATAAAAAATTGTAAATTATTTTTTATGTAGAAAAATTCAAATTATTGATACTTCATAAATCTGGATATCAATAAATATAGGTGAAATATCTTAGTATATTGGTATCGAATAGTGAAGCAAATTAAATTAAAGTATGGTCCTTTGTACAATACAATACAAAAATTAGTTTTTAGAAATGAAATATTTAATTAAATAACCGAAATGTTACAAGTCAGTTTCTATTGTAACTACTCGCAGAGACTAACATTCAAGTGGCATTTGTAGCAGATGACAAAAACGAATAATTGAGAGTTTGTTTACTTGGCGTTTGTTTCGAGCTAGGTTGATTCACTCACAAAATCTATTGTTTTTCTGGATTTTGTTGCTAACATTCTTTGGTCATATTATTCTGTTTTTGCAACTGTATCAATGATTGTACAGTAAAAACGGGAAGGTTGAAATAAGGTGTTAGACTGCTTGGCAGAGGTTGTGCTGGGATGGTATTGCCTTAGGGAGAAAGTTGATCCAAAGAGACCTAAAACATTTTTTCCTCCAATCAAATATGTATACAGATGCAAATTTAAAACTAATGATCAACAGCACTATGGTTGGCATAATAAGAAACAAGTAATTACAGTCCAAACCCAATTGGGTGCATTTGTGTACTGTGTGTATGCCAGTAATAACTAAACAAGAAAATGCATTTATTCAGTAACCTATTCTACTTCTAAGCATTACAGCTTATTAATATGCGTGCACCACAAAAGAAATTTGCTCAACAGTTATAGTAGTTCATCTACCAAGGATTTGATAGGCAAATTATCAACATTGGACTTGATAGATAGCATGCTTTTATTCAGTTCTTCTGATTTGAGTTCGAGCTCGCTCAAACGACCTCTGATCTCAGGAATTCGTGCTTTGATGTCAGCAACCTCTTGTTCTTTCTGAGCCAAAGTTTCCAACTCTTGTTGTAGCTCTTCCCTCAATGTCTCCACTTCGCGACCAGAGTTAGTCTTTTCTGCCTCAACCTCCTGGTGCTGATTAATGAGTTCAATATCCTCAGCTAGTTCTTCGAGGGCGCCACGTAACCATGCAACATGAAGTTGAGCAGCTTCTGCATCCTTAAGAATGGCCAACAATTCTTTGACTTTGGACCGGCTTAATTGCATTAATGAGGTGGAGTGTAACTCTTGCACCACAAAGCATACACACTCAATGTAATATGAGCGCATCGCAACTGATTCCAAGCGACAGCTTGCTCCTATGTCCCCGTACTTGTCAAGGATAGATTGCAGAATGGAAACAAAACTTTCTTTTACTTGATATCTGCCAACTTTGAGACGGGTTTCTGAAGTCACGGACTCGGTCTCACCTTCATCATTTTCTTCGTTTCCACGCGAAATGCCAGAGAAACTAGAACCAACGGATCCAGCAGCAGTGTCATCAGGATGATGGGTTGTTGAAACAACTTCATGAGAAGCAATTTTGTCCCCGTGAATTATTGGCATTGAGTTGGCAAGGTGCTCATTACCATGATCCCTTGGTTGTTGGTCTTGGACATTGAAAGGCTGCAAAAGAATCACATGCAAGACATGACATGAGTTTGTGTCGCTCTTTCTTAGTTCAAAGATTAGAAGGCCTGACATGAGACAAAAGAGTGACCACTACCTTCACGGCTGGGATATGTTTCTCTGCAGAAATTGGCTCAGAGGGAACGTCCTCATTTTTCTCTGTCTCAACCTTTTTCTTCTCAGAATGCTGTGAAGTTGGTGATGAAGCATCAGATGGGTAAATTGCTCCAACCTTAGAGGCAGGAACACTGTCAAGAACAGGGGGTTCTGGTTTAGAACCTGGCTTCTTTTTTCTGTCTAACTTTAACGGAGGAGGGGCACCTACAAATACAATTAGAATGGACAAGAATCAGAAACGTATTTATTCATCGGCATGTGAGAGATCTTCATCAATGGCCTGTTCATCAAGTCAAGGACAAACTTTAATACCTCCAAAACACGACACTAGCTCTATACAGCTAATTTCACATTTTTTTTATTATATGAAGTTTCTTATAAATGTGGATACCAGAGTTAAATCAAACACATAATATTGTCGTAAGTTACTACTTGAACTGTTTTTTAAATTTATTCAAATTAAAAATTTTAAAATTAATTTTGGAGACCTAAAATTAATTTTATCATTTGTACATGAACTAATATTTGTGAACTTAGTTTAAAAAAATTACATTTCTAAACTCAGTAATCCGTATATAAATTTGTGAATTTGTCAAAGAAACAAATTCATTAAATAGTCAAACAAAATAATGGCAATAATGAAAATTCATGTTTTTGGAGTTTATATACGTTGATGATACAATATCAATATAGAGAAGTCTAACTTTGTTCTCGTTCATTTAACCTGGTCTACTTCTAAACAAAATACAGTTCTAGATATAATCCCCACAACTTTAAGTTAACTCACAAACGGTGTTTTGCATGACAAAATTATAAAGATGACTTAACAGAAAAACCCTCTGGTTTGACCATGAAATGACTCAGTAATTCTTAAAAAATCCTCCAGTTTCATGTGACTCTATTTTGTGAACGTAGATTGGATCGCATGAGGGAAGATAATTATCGATTCAGATCACTGATATCATTGAATATCAGATAAAGAGAGGGTACCTGAATCAGATAATCTTCTGTAACAAGTGTCATCACACTCATGGTAAGGATTAGATGCTTTGGGACAACCTGCGTAAGTTCGTTTTTGGTTGGTTACCTTTTTGCCAAGCTCACCATCTGTCACACTTCGACGATAACCTTAGCGTTGAAAATTTACATGTTTTGAGACATGAATTAGCATCCATGCAAAACTGAATTTAACAGTAACAGATGCACTCATGCATAACAACAGAATAAATGGTTCAAAAAATATCAAGAGGGGATGAAGGAGAAAAGCAGAAAGAAAAACAACCAACCTGAATTAATCTTCTTTTTTGTGTGTGTGGTCTTGGTTCGGTTGGTGCCTTGGGAGCAAGCTTGTGTGCATTGATGGTAAGGATTAGAGAGATTAACACAGTTGGGTGCCATCTGCTTCTGGCTTAATTCCCAACTTCTGTGCCGCCAAACAAAAACCGAAATAACTTAAAAGTCCTTTCCCAATAAATAGCGTTTGTGTGGCTGCTATATCTGTGACTTACTCTACTTTAGGAACGTGTAAAAAGAACAACGGGGTTGGCAGGGATCAAAATTACTAAACCAATTCCAACTTAACAACGCAACTCAATGAATGAAAAATAAGGAATGTGTGGGAATGAAGGAAACCTCTATTTATTGATTAGGCCATTCGTTAGAAACTTTGGACACTGTTTGTTTGACCAATTTAAATTCCATGACGACGAGTATTGATTTTTGAATCAACCTTTTGAATGTTTTGGGTTTTAATAGTATACAAGAGTTTATATGTTGTGTCAAAGTCTTGTCTTCTAGACACTCGCGCGCCAACAACGACCATTTTTTGTGGGTTCCTCGTCCTCGTTAAGGCGTGCTTATAGAAAATAAAATAGTTCAACATAAAAAAACAGATGCTGCATAATTTAAATCAAATGAGACATATTGAAGTGATAGTTCGATATCGAAATTTATTTATTTATTTATTTTGTGTGTTGTTAGAGATATCAAAATAAAATAAACATATAAAAATAAGGCGGGAATAAGACACCGGGTTCGCATGCAGCATGCGTAGTTGTGAAATGTGTTTTTAATGAATTAAATAAATTCCTTTTGATGTTTTGTTTTATTTCATCTATTTACTTACTGTTAATGTAAAAACAAAAATACTTATTTGGAAATTAATTATGTTTGGTTACGTGATTTTTAGCAAATTTGTGGAATTAGTTATGGCTATAGTTTTATTTATTTATAATAATTACTTTTAATTATCGTTTTGCACACCAAGGAAGTACTTTTACGAAAGTACCCACCAATTTTTATCAGAAAATTCCGAAACCTTGATTCTGATAGAATTACAAGTTTTTGTATTTTGTCCTCACTGTTAAACATTATATATTTGAACTCGTTATAACAGGTTCTGAAAATCAAATTATCTTTTTCTTCTAGATGTAAAGTTCAGTTTAAATAATTTGTTTGTAAAAGCCCAACTCTTATATCTTCTCTTGGGCCTACTATTTCCACTCCTAAATTCTTTAAAATGAAAAGAAAAGTCACTCTTTCCATTAAATATTTAATTTCTTCAAATAGGTATTTCTTGTTACATCTTCTGATTTTCTCGCAGGACATCTATATATTCAATAATGAGATTTTTCTCTAATGTATTTTACATTCTAGAAAACTCTTCTGAAAAACGTTTCATAAGAAAGATAGTAGAGTGGTCGAAGTTGGATTCTCCTCAAAGACTTGTCCATTTTTTATTGGTTTTTTCTTCTATCTTCTCCCTTTTCACTCGGCAAAATAGTATCATTATCAAAATATTATATCCTATGTTATGTTATTTTTTAACAAGTTTTTTTTAATGTAATACTATATTTTAATTGTAATACAGCTATATTATTCTTTATATTTTTTGTTATATAAAAAATAATTTTAATGTAAAGTGAACATGCAACATCAATGAATTATAATATACTAATGGATATAAAATATAGTTTGGTATTGCTAGATAATAAATTTGTTAGGGTGTATGTAAAGTAAATAATAAAAAAAGTTTTTTATATAAGATCTCATAAGTTTTGCATATGATGACTTCTTTTCTTGGAAGGAGAGTTTTATGTTCCCAATACAATTTTGTTTGTATGTTTGTTTTTTTTTCCTTCATTTCGATTAATTTTAGAGTTATATTTAGTTTGACTATAAGTGTGCGCGTTTAGATAATTTTAAAGAGTTTTTTTTTTATAACTCTATCTAATGACAATATTCGCATTCCATTTATATCCAACGATTTATATAAATAAGATACTAAAATTATTAAAACCAATTGTGGAGTTTGTCAGCCTTAGATGCAGTTAAAGGTCCAAACTATGTATTAATGGATTTGAATATTCAAAATATCTTGATTTGCATGGACCATTGTATATAAATTAAAAATATATTATTAGAGAGAGTTGAAGAGAACTTTCCACTAAAAAAGTTTTACAAGGATGGTAGATAAGAATGGAACGGAAAGAGGTGAATTTTAAGTAAATATTTGATTTGTAAAAATTTATAATAAACATACATTTTTTTTATAATTAAATATTCAAATAAAAGAATAATAATTTTATTTTATTAATTTTAATTCATTTTACTCCTCTAATGGAAAATACAATTTAAGCATTCAAATTCCACAAATAAATAGCTATTAACAAAAAAAATTCCTATTTAAATTTGTAATATAAAAGTAAATAAATGTTCCTCAATCATTTTTGAACTTGATAGAAAATAAATGAGTATATTTTTAGGGTGAAAATAAATTATTCTTACAGGCCATATATTTTCGCGTTAAAAGAAAAAAAGAAAACACAGTCGGTGCATGAATAAAAAAAACGGAAAGTATTTATTTAAACGGTTTTTGTCGTTCACGCATAACATAAACGAGAGAAAAGAAAAGAAAAAAAAAAAAAAACTCCTCCGAAGAAAGAAAGAGATTGAGAAAACCTAGATGGATCAAGCACAAGTATTTGTTCCATTTCGCCAATGCGATGTGATCGTGGTCCAGCAGTTGTGGTAGAACCAAATCCTCTATTCACTCCGATTTCATTTCGTTAATCTCCTCTTCATCTTCCCCGTCGTCTAGCGGTTGCCGGCGGCACCTTCCTCGTCATCGCCGCCGCGTAGTTCCTATCATCGCAACCCTAATCATCGTCCGTAGTGAAATCTGAGATTGCAGACCTTTGTGTGTGGCAAATCTTGATGAGCGATGGAGTTGGCACAACTAGAAGCATTGTGTGAGAGGCTGTACAATTCGCAGGACTCGGTAGAACGCGCTCACGCGGAGAACACACTAAAATGCTTCTCCATGAACACTGAATACATTTCTCAATGCCAATACATTCTTGATCATGCCTTGACACCCTATGCATTGATGCTGGCTAGTTCCAGTTTGTTGAAACAAGTCACCGAACACAGCCTTGCCTTGAAGCTTCGCCTTGATATATGTATTGTTTCTCTTCATTTCACTTTTGCCCCGTCTTCGGTGACTCAAAATGCTGCAATTCATAGAACTATTTTTAATGCATGTCAGGGACGTACCTTATAAACTATCTAGCGACCAGAGGACCTGAGTTACAGCCATTTGTGACTGCTTCTTTGATCCAACTTTTGTGTCGAGTCACAAAGTTCGGATGGTTTGATGATGACCGATTCCGGGACCTGGTCAAAGAATCCATGAACTTCTTGAGTCAGGTGATGAAAAAGCGATTGTTTAATTTGCATGGAATATGGTATCTTATATCGAAGGATGATTTTCTGGACTCAAGTGAAACAAAAACCTTGACATTGTGGCCTAAATCGCGGTTGCGTCATTTTAAAACCACGAATGTGGTTTATCCTCTATTGCACATCAGTCAATTGTAGGTTTATATCTCCTAAACTAAAAAAGGTTTCTCAGTTTACTTGAAGTGGTAATCCTGTAACCCACTTCTGATTTCTTCTCCTTCTTAGATGTGTAGTAATTGTGTACGTAAGCTATTATTCTTTATGTTGTGATCTATTAATTTTATCACTGGTGGTAGTTGCTGTGGTTTCTGCAACTTTTTTTTAAATCTCATTGAGTTAACCAGGAACCAGTATGTAATGTGAAATTGTTGCCTTACACAGCATCTCAATTAGTAAATTTCTGTTTCTGGGGCATATTGCTCATGACGTATTTTTCAATACAGGCGACGCCAGGTCATTATGCCATTGGTTTGAGGATCCTCAGTCAGCTTATCTCCGAGATGAATCAGGTTAGAGTTTAACTTGTGCTTCTTGAATATGTTTGGTGCTGGTGTTTAGTGTGGACATTACAAAATACTGTTGTCACTGCTCCGTGTTTGTTAATGGAGTCCATCCAATGATCTGGATGTTGAACAGTAAAACGAGGGTTGTCTCCTTGTTGGTTCCGTGCCTTCTTTTTTCTTGGGGGGGGGGGGGGGGTTGGGAGGGTTTCTGAGTTCGGTGAAATTTCTCAAGATTCCTTGGATGTTCTGGGATATATGATTTTTTTTTTTCCTTTTGAATTTTTCCTTCTGATTATGCAGATATTATGGTATCTCTAATGTTGTCAAGATTGTTGGGTAGGTTGTGAGATCACACTATTTTACGATCTCACACTCTTGACCTGAGCTGAATTGTATGCTGTGCATGGGTGAGATCGCAGCAATATCGTAGCAAAATTGTGAATTTTGGATGATTTTCATGATCATGCCATCGGGTTTGTGGGTTAGGTTGAATGCCCAGTCTTCCAGAATCCCTTTTTTATGCCCTAAAATACCTTTTCTATTCAGTATTTTCTGTTGAATCTTGTAGAGTTTTGAAGGCTCTTAGCACACATGTGAACATCTCTATATCTCTCTCTTGTCTCTTTTGCATGACATCTCTCTCAACCTTCTTCACTGTCTTGTCGATTACATGTGTCCTGCCATCTTAAGCTGTGACTTATTTGTTAAATCTTCAGGCGAAATTCTTATAAAGACATATTTGGCATTTATTTTTCTCAAGTAGATCATACTGGTTCTTGTGATTTAATATGGTCCACGTACAGTGCTAATGTTCTTTTTGTAGGATTCTAAAATAATCTTTTACTTTAATGTTGTCATCTGTGTGTGTGTGTGTGTGTGTGTGTGTGTATATGTACATATATCTATGCATAATTTTATATTTTTGTAGGATCTTACGATCTGACCTTTTACAACCTTGCAACCCACCCCTGATACTAATGACCTTTATCTTGAAAACATTGGGTAATTGTGTGAATTTTTCTTGAGAGTTGGAGCTAAGGGACTGAGAATTTTGCTAATTATGAGTTTCTATTGCCACATATTCATTAATGAATTTAAAGCATTGATCATGTGCAAACATATGCTTCATGAGATTATCATTGAAATTTGTGCTAACCTTAGTCCAAAGGTTTATGCAATTTAAATAACTGTGTTGGTTGCTGATATTTTATGATAGGTTGTGTCAATACATAAAAATAAAAAACAAACCTGATTTGGTGAATGTGTTTCACAGTGACTTCTATTCATTTGTGATTATGCTTTGATCTCTAATATCTTAAATCCTTCCTCAGGCTAATGCCGGTATGCCTGCTACAAATCATCGAAGGGTTGCTTGCTCCTTTAGGGACCAATATCTTTTTCAGATATTCCAGATATCTTTGACATCATTGGGTCAGCTGAAAAATGATGGTAAAATGGGAATACTCATACTTTTAATTTCTTCCTCTCATTAGTACCTTCTTTCTTACCTTTTTCTTTCACAATGTTGAGATTTGAGATTGTATAATATGCAGTTCTGAATCAATTGCAAGAATTGGCACTTGCTCTTTCCTTGAAATGTTTATCATTTGATTTTGTGGGGACTTCTGTTGATGAAAGTTCAGATGAGTTTGGCACGGTTCAGGTATCTTTTTTTTTTTAATTTTAATTTTTGAAAAGTGCCACATTAGTTACTTTTGTGTTGGTTAATCTACTATCTTGTACTATGGTGGTTTGCAGATTCCATCCCCTTGGAAGCCTGTTTTGGAGGATTCTTCAACACTACAAATATTTTTTGATTACTATGCCATTACAAAGCCCCCTCTTTCAAAGGAGGTCTGTACATCCATTTGTTTCTATGGTCATATATTTCACATTTAGACCTTGAAGTTGCTAAAACTAAAATATGAATCTTTTTTTGCTTTCTGGGAAATTGTGTATTACTTTCATTGATTGTAGCCCCCTTAATCTAAAAATATAATGTGAGAGCACATGAATGATCAAATTTGATTATAGCCACTTCCACTTGATATGCTTTCTGTGTAAATCAATGTTATAATTTAGCCTTAACATACATATATGATGTATGACTGCCATTTTATTTACTTCATACTTTTCTGGTTCTATTTAATTTCTTCTCATTCAAAGAATTTTGTTAAACCATCAATTCTCATTTTTATTTAATTTTTTTTTTCTGTCATGGCCTATTTGTAGGTTTTGTCCTGCCACTTGTTAGAATTTTAATTCGAACTAATAAATGTAGGCTATCAATTTGAGTTTTGTAATTAATGACGAGAAAGCCTTTAGAATGGAAAAAGTGTTGGCCAAAGCATGATTACACGCTATTCAAATGTTGGATTATGTAATTACAATTATAATGAGGGAAAAGTGAGCATGATTGATATTTTTATTAGTGAACATAAGTTTGGAATAAAAACCTGTTCTCTGGAAAGAGGATGGCTGGACACTTGGCCAAATTCTGGTGGCACTTCTTGGTTGTTGCAGAAATGTCTTATGCTGTAAAGAAGGCAACGGTTGAACATCAGTTGGATAGTATTAGTGTTTTTTTTTTTGGGGATTGGGGTTAGAAAAAAGATAAACAAGAGAAGCACCAGTTTGTAGACTACAAAAAAGTGAAGATGATGTACTTTTGCCCTAGGAGCAATAATTTTCTTTCTTCTTGTGAATAAAGAATAATTTTATTTGAAGGGAGAATAAAGGAGTGAGTAAAATAAGAGAGGGTGTTTATTGAAAAAAAGAATGAAAAAGATTACTTTATCTCTTAATCATCACAAGGAAAAATATATAAATTGCAAACAGCTAACAGCCTTAGCTTAGCAGCTTCCTTCTTCCATAAGTATCTCACTTAACCTACCGTATCAGTTGGATAGTATTAGTGTTTTTTTTTTTTTTTGGGATTGGGGTTAGAAAAAAGATAAACAAGAGAAGCACCAGTTTGTAGACTACAAAAAAGTGAAGATGATGTACTTTTGCCCTAGGAGCAATAATTTTCTTTCTTCTTGTGAATAAAGAATAATTTTATTTGAAGGGAGAATAAAGGAGTGAGTAAAATAAGAGAGGGTGTTTATTGAAAAAAAGAATGAAAAAGATTACTTTATCTCTTAATCATCACAAGGAAAAATATATAAATTGCAAACAGCTAACAGCCTTAGCTTAGCAGCTTCCTTCTTCCATAAGTATCTCACTTAACCTACCGTATCAGTTGGATAGTATTAGTGTTTTTTTTTTTTTTTTGGGATTGGGGTTAGAAAAAAGATAAACAAGAGAAGCACCAGTTTGTAGACTACAAAAAAGTGAAGATGATGTACTTTTGCCCTAGGAGCAATAATTTTCTTTCTTCTTGTAAATAAAGAATAATTTTATTTGAAGGGAGAATAAAGGAGTGAGTAAAATAAGAGAGGGTGTTTATTGAAAAAAAGAATGAAAAAGATTACTTTATCTCTTAATCATCACAAGGAAAAATATATAAATTGCAAACAGCTAACAGCCTTAGCTTAGCAGCTTCCTTCTTCCATAAGTATCTCACTTAACCTACCGTATTTTTTACCGTCATCATGTCTTGGGACTCCTGTTGTAACCTTCAGAATAATAAAATTAAAACGGAAAAGGGAAATAAAAACAAACAAACTAAAAAATACAAGACTCCTCAATCTCCTGTCATGTGTGACAAGGAGGAACCAGGGATGACAGCCTTTTTGATGAGTTTGAAAATTTTTGAAGTAAACACCCTAAGCTTCACCTAAGTAAGGTAGTGAATGGCTGTGGATCAGTGTAAAATAACAGTTCCTTCCAAAATAAAGCAATGCACCACATGAAGGGAAATTATTATTCAGCATGACCTCATCCTGTACATTACGGTTTGCATGAAAATTGAGTACCACAGTGATGTACTATTGACGTATTAAGTAAGGTGTTGAATATTTTCAATTTGATATTATCACTTGTATTAAATGACAATTTGTTTTCTGATGTGTTTATGTTTATTTTGAAAATTTGAGAATTTAAGTATTTCTTGACTAATGATTGGTTAATGTTTATTTTATTTTGTTAATTTTTCTCATTGATGGTTCATCGCCCTTGTACTTTTGAACTTTCCTTCCTCTTAGGCATTAATTATTTTTCTTTCCAGGCACTGGAATGCTTGGTGCGTCTAGCGTCTGTAAGGCGTTCTTTGTTTACAAATGATGCTGCCCGTTCTAAATTTTTGGCCCATTTAATGACAGGAACCAAAGTAATCCTGCAAACAGGGCAAGGTGTTGTAGGCTTGTTACTTCTTCACTTGTTTTGTATTGTAATGACAAACTGGAAATATTATCTTCCATTATTATAAATGAAGAGAAAATATGCCTTTTGTTTTCACTTTTTTTGGATCTCTCTTGTTATATATTGATTATGAGCAACTTTAAATAAAAATAGAACATATCTCTATCTTACTTTCTTTTTATGCATGTATTTGTCATCATGGCAATTTATTTTTGCCTTGGGTTGTTCAATTTTCTGCCTCTTCAACAAACCAGTCAGTTGTTTCCAGCCAGTGTAGGATGTGAGAGTTTGTAGAAGCTCTTACTCGACCTAGGTAAAAGCTCTTGGTGAAATTTTGAATCACAGGTGAAATTGGGCTGCACATGCGGTTGTCTTATATAAAGCCATTAGTTTGGAAATAGATTAGTTGAATTCAAGATCCAATGTACTCCATTTTTCAGTAGCATTGAAAGGGAAAAGCCATAGTAAATCTCTCTAGGTTCAGCAAAGCAAAAAATGTTGTGGAGAAAATGGAAAAAAATGGCCAGACGTGCATATAAACTTTTAAACTTTACTTAATTCTTTATTTCCAATTCATGCTTTTGCCATAAAATTTGGCATTGGCCATGCATTTACAATTTCAACTGTGTTGGAAAGCAGGTCTTGCAGATCATGATAATTACCATGAATTTTGTCGTCTTCTTGGTCGTTTCAGAGTGAATTATCAGGTACACTTATTTGTAGTTTTCTTCTCCTTTTGTGTTCTATTTACTGGGTTTTATTTCTAATTGGTAGTAATGCAATGTACATAAGCAGGGACATGGGGTTCATGCAGTGGAGGCTAGGTACATACTTTGGCTTAGAAGTTAGAAGGGCACTGTACTAAGTGCACCATACAAATTGCCCCTTGTAATACCTGTGGGATTATAAGTTTTAAACTTTAATACACACCATGCTAGGATAGTAACCTCAAAGAGTGATAATAGTTTTCATGATTACTTTGCCACTTTTTATTGTAGTTAGGTAGAATATCATTTAAATTTTGTTTAAATTTAATGTAATTAGTATTAGTGTATCAAATAGATACATAAATGGCTGGAATATATTCATATTCTACATATCATTGTTTTCTATGTTACTTTGCCATTGTTTTGAATAATTCATTCCTTACACGTGAAACAATTCCATAAGAATATTGATTAATTGTGTCTTATCCTAATATTTACATGCATAAATGTTTAATTTGTACTTATAAACTGGGCCAGCTCAAGTCAATTATCACCGGGCATCCTAAACTTTTCTGGCCTTTCTTTATTTGTATCTTGTCCTTTACGTCACTCAACCAACTTATGTTTATTCCACTGTTTAAAAATTCAGTGTTCACACCTGAAAATGAGCCTCAAATTACAACAATACGTGGACAGTTATGTTGATAAAGTTTAGAGGAATAACATTATTTGCATGTTCTATAATATATTCCATTGGAACACCCTTTTGCTATTATTTCTTTTCCCTAATTTCCTTGAACTTGTTACCTAAAGTTGTAAACTAAATGTTGCAGTTGTCGGAGCTTGTTAATGTGGAAGGCTATAGCGATTGGATACGTTTGGTTGCAGAGTTTACTCTCAAATCTTTGCAATCATGGCAGGTTAATCATTGTGTTGCTTTCAAACTTTCCCAGAGAATACATGATAAATTACGGCTCAAAAATCATTCTAATGTTTTTGAGCATTTTATCTTTGGGACAATGGTGGCACTGCCTGGAAACAATTCAGGACTATGTCTTGTGAAAATTATCTATAAGATATTTCATTAATTAATTAAGTTTCAACTTATTTTTTGCATTTGTATTTTGAAACATTGAGGTTTTGATTAAGCTGATACCTTCTTGTCAGTGGGCAAGCAATAGTGTGTACTACCTGTTAGGGCTGTGGTCTAGATTGGTGTCTTCTGTTCCATATTTAAAAGGTGATGCACCAAGCTTACTGGATGAATTTGTTCCCAAGATTACTGAAAGTTTCATCACATCAAGATTCAACTCAGTGCAGGTATTTCTAAATATCCATGCATACTTACTTGTTCCCAGCTGCATAGTTACAAGCTACATGTATTTTATTTTACACATCTGTTAATAAGAGCTGTCATAAATGTAATATCTTCTGTCTGTTTTTAATAGGCTGGATTACCTGATGATCTTTCTGAGAACCCCTTAGACAATGCTGAACTTCTTCAGGATCAATTAGACTGCTTCCCATACCTTTGTAGATTTCAGGTATCATCCATATTTTATATTTTCATTCTTCTATTTTAATTAAGGAAGAAATTTATAAGGCAAGAAGAATACATTGGAGAATATAAACAGAGCAGTACGCTAAAACGAACAGAAATATTATGTAAAACGGCTTTCCAGCTCTTCTGCTTATTTAAAGTGATGAAGAATTGATATAATCCTATTAAGGAAAAAAATTTGATCTTGGTGGGAACTATGAATTTGAAATAAATTGATTCTGGATCAAAGTCACTTTCGTCCACGTTATTGAGATTAAAATGGAAGTTGCATTAGGAGACAACTTTTATATAATTTATCCTAATAAAGTAGATAGTGACCACTATAACTGCCAAAATGGGTGGTCCAGCTATGTTTGACACTATAGATCAAGTAAAAAAATTGATAGTCTAGCTTGACCTATATTTTAAAATGAGGTATAACTTTTAACCTAACTTGATTCTATGTCGGGCTAACGGGTCAATTTTGGTGTGATTGAAAATTAAAAAGAAATTATTAACATGTCTATACCAAATCAATTAATTAAAAATAAAAAATATATTTTTAAAATTTAAATTATATTAATAAAATTAGTTTTTATGTATTATATTATGATTTAATATATAGATTATAAGATAATGAAACCATTAAATCTTAAAATAAAAATTAAAACTTACTTTTCATTATCATTATTTATTTTTTAGTAATTTTTTTAATCTAAAATAGTAATTAATTTTAATCATATGATATTGGAATAAGTGGTTATTAGAGACTTATTCTGATATTAGAATAAGTGAATCCCTTCTCAAATTAATTTATATATATATATATATATATATTTTTTTTTAATAATAAAATAATATTATTTTTATTTTTATTTAAAAACAATTATTATTCTATAAAATGGGTCGGTTCATAAGCCTATGAGCTAGTATGGTCTAACGCCATGTAAGCTATGGCATAAACGGCTGGATCAAAATAGGCTTAATTTAATTTATGTCACAAATATTTTGGCTTAGTCTGACTTATTTTTAGGACTTTTCGGGCATGTCCATCAAGCTTAAGCCGATTTTGATAGCCCTATATCAGCTGGAGACAACTTTGATTTAATTTATCCGACTGAATTCTAATCATTTGTGTATGATGGTTGTTACTCATTTGTTGAAGATAGGAAATTCTTAAATATTTAGTTTCGCAATTCTTCTGCAATTTATTGAACTATGTTGATTGTTTGACTCCTTTGTATTCATTGTGCAGTATGAAAGCAGTAGTTTATTTATAATAAACATAATGGAGCCAGTCTTGCAAATATACACGGTGTGTTATAGCTTTCATTTAATGCTGCCAGTTACCCTTTTGTAATTTTTATTGAGAGAAATTAGTTATTTATTGATCTTAACTGTTTTCAATGACTGAATAGGAAAGAGCAAGAATACATGTTTCTGATAACAGTGACCTGACTGTGATTGAAGATAAACTTGCTTGGATTGTTCATATCATTGCTGCAATTCTGAAGATAAAACAATGTACTGGTTGTAGGTAAATACCTTTTTGGCTATTGCCTTTTTCTATTGATGTGGATGATAAAAAAGTTCTGAGCAGTGTTTATAGCTTTCTAGTATCAACATTTTGTAGTCTTAATTTTTTGCGGCATTTATATTTGCAGTTTGGAATCACAGGAGGTACTCGATGCAGAACTTTCTGCTCGAGTTTTACAGTTGATAAATGTAACTGACAGTGGAATACACAGTCAGGTATACCAGCACAGCATTAGTTTTTGCCATTTGGTAATGTTTTGTAAATTTACATCATGACATCTAACTTTAATTGCAATATGTCTTCGGTGGTAAGTTAGGTCATCCATGTTAGTAACTTGTATTTATGTTGTTGGCTGAAGGATGATCTATTGTTTTCTTTAGATAAAAAATTTTTGGTATAAAAATATAATTTTTTAAAGAGAGTACAAAGTTGGTGAGCATAAGGCATCTTTGCCTCAAGAAAAACGGTGCAGAAGAACAATAGAAAAACTAAGAATGTCAAAATCCAGAGATGATAAATCCTTGTAAAATTCAAGCGGCAAAATAATTGCTTGAACTTGAAGTGCACATTGCTCCCAATTTGGCCTTTCCACCAAAACATTTGAACTTTAGGGATCAAATTGAAGGAACTGACCTATAAAGGGTGAAGTTGATAACTAGGGTATTTTCCAGACAGTAAAACACAGATTTACTCTATTTCTCATTATAACTGATTTGTTCACATGCAACTGGTGGAAATGACTTGGTTTCTTCTATTAATGCAATTACATAATAGAAATTTATGTCTTTATCTCTTTTTGTTTATTGTTTTTGTTGTTGTTTGCTTTTGCTTTCCTTGATGATAAATTTCGTAATAATGAGGTAGAAGAATGAGTATCTTATTTGGGCATGTTATTGGTATTTGACAGAGATATGGTGAGATAAGCAAACAGAGACTAGATAGGGCAGTACTTACTTTCTTTCAGAATTTTCGAAAGTCTTATGTTGGAGATCAGGCTATTCATTCTTCCAAGGTAATAAAATGTTTTAATTAGTAAGAAAAAGACATTTTGCATGGATGTGCAAAGTTTACTGGTATAAATTGTCAATCTTAAAAAAATGATTATGGGTACATTGAGAGGCTTTATAATTTTTTTTTTCATTGATTAATATTTATTCTTATAGACATGTGTACACATGTATGTATTATGCAGGAATCGGAATCTATTTAGTAAAACATCACAGAATTATATAGAAGATGAAAACATATAAATTTAAAAAAAATAAATGGAGTAATATATCAAAGTTAGCTCAAATTGATGTGCTAAATCCTTCCAATTGTGTATTGCTACTGCTTCTAGTTGGTTTACTGTCCCAAAATGCTGTCATCACCACGAGTGACTGGAGACTACGCCTTTCTCTCAATTTGCATATAAGGATTAATGAACTTAATTGTGAATAATGGCCTATTCAGTGAAAATGAAAGAATATTTAATTTTAACTGTAAGTGATATATAGTACTTGAGGCATACCAATGTGTACCTGTAAGCAGTATGTACCTGGTATGGGTATGGCTCTCAAAATTTGAAGTACCTATGCTTCAGATATGATAAGACACTGAACATATATTGTGCTTTCTATGCATCTGTTCATTTATATATTTTATGTTGCAGCAGTTATATACCCGGTTATCTGAACTTCTTGGCTTACATGATCATCTATTACTGTTGAATGTGATTATTGGCAAGATTGTGACTAACCTTAAGTGCTACACGGAGGTATTTTTTATAGCTTGTGTTTTTTGTTTTCTCATTTATTTTATTTTTTTCCTGTTTTAACACTAATATGTGTTTGTGCTTATTTCAGAGTGAAGAGGTCATTGACCACACCTTGAGTTTGTTTTTGGAGCTTGCATCTGGGTTAGTTTTAGTTGGATCGAATAGTATTAGTTACCTCTGTTGTAGTTAGAACTAGCCACCTGAATTAACTGATTTCTCTTGTGACAGCTACATGACTGGAAAACTACTTTTGAAGTTGGATACAGTGAAATTTATTGTTGCCAATCATACGGTAGAACATCCGTTTTGTCATTTGCTAGTTAATTTCTCTTGGATTATCATTTACTGCATACTAGCTAAAACTGGCAGCTAATGCACTGTCATATAAATTGTTAACGGGAATTGGGCTTTACATGACACAATCCATCAAAATTCACAAGTAACTTGCCAAGAGTGGTGTAATATGAAGTTATATAGTATATAGGCAGCTGTTGCTTTTTCATGCCCAATTTGTAATTGTTGATCAGAATTGTGCTTGTGTTATTTTTTTCTTTAAAGGTTTAACTGGATGGGTACTACCTAGATTTTTTTTCTAATATATCTAACATTGGTTGTTAAGTGTTCCATAAGGTAATCTATAGGACAGTTGTCTAACTCTGTTGCATACGAAGTAGCAGTGTTTAAAACCTGGACCCAACTAATCTGTTGGACTGGTTTAACTGCAATCCAGACCAGTGACATTTACAGATTGGAAATGTCATTGTGTTATAACATTTTCTATTGGGTACCGGTATTAGGCTGTAAAACTAACTACCTTACTGCCAGTCCCTATATATAAGAATTGTTGCCTTGTAAATAGGGAGAAGAAAAGACATTGATTGTAATACTTGCTCTCTCTTAATCCAATAGCACTCGGGAATCCATCATTTGATTATTTTTCCTGAATTCTTCGTGTATCTTTGCACCTAGAACTGCTTCCTCTTCTCTTCCTCCTCTATTTTCCCTCTCTGAGCTGGCTTTTGCAATGGTTACTGTTGTATACGTTTATCCTTAACACATTGACCTGTGCTAAGGTCCGGTTTAAGGCTACCAACTGCTTATTTATGTTGTCCGATAATGCTATTGACCTCCCATGAGTCCTGTTCATGCTGCTGTGCCTTTACACTGCCCCTACAAGGTCCGTTCTTAATTTGCCTTATCCCAAGTTCTGCAAGTGCTTGAATATCAAATTTTCACAGGCTGGAATATTGAACGTGAATATCAGATATCAGATTTGCACAATCTGGGACTTGAACCAGGCTTCCTTCCTTGTCGAAAAGATTTTAACCTCTTTAACCAATGCATCCATTTGCTAATTTTATATGAAATTTTATTTTTTTATAATATCTTAGGAATAACTGTTATCTATTAAACATTGATCGATTTATGTGGTTTAATTATTAACTCCATAGTTCAACCAAAACCCGCTAAGTTTTAAAACACTATGATATAGTTTTTATGTTCCAATATTATGTAAATTGCTCGAAGATAAAAGATTCAAGGATGGCTGAGCTTCATTCCTTGCTATTTATCTTCTCTTCATGTTACATTGCTTCTTCCCATCTTAAGCTCTTTCTTGTCTTCATCACTGAAATTTTCTTCCTGTTGACGGTATAATTTGCTAGTGATGATATTTTTGGTTAGTGCTTTGCCTTTTGTAATTGGAAGATGGGATTATCGTTAATTTTTCTATTTTGTCCTTTGCCTATTAATTTCTCCTCGATCTCTATGGCCCTGTTGATACCTGAAAGTACTTGAAGTAATAAACTTTTTGCATAAATTACGTATCATAGTGATTGGATTCTTTCAAGAATCATGTTTAAGGAATTTAATTTATCATGAAACTTAAAGCTTCCTTGAATCCATAAACTATCTCTCTAATTTTTTGCTGTCAAAATAAATTATAACTATGTTCTATTAAACCTTGGTGCCAAAGGGTGTAGGACTGTGGTGGGTGACCAGAGAATAGATTATCTTGTTTGCTTGGCTGGGAGATCTATTGCATACTCAAGAACGAAAAGTCTAGATCTTATAATTCTGGTTTAGAAAATATTGCTGTTGTGGCTAAATGACTATGACAATTTCCGTCAAAGCTTCCTTATGGTCCCAGCATTCACCAACTCAATGCCTCTCAGGGCAGGGATACACTTGTTTATTTGGTGCATAAATACTAATTCTGGTTCTCACATATGATTTTATGAGGATGCATATGGGTAGAAGTGTAAATCTTGGCTTTCCTCCTGATTTTTCCATATGTTTGCATAGTTCAATAATTAATGCTTTCTTTCTTCCCGAGAGTCTTCCATGTTTTGGTAATTTCATTTCCTAGGCTAGGAGTCTTAATTGACGTGGAAGCTATCAAGCTAAACTTCCTTTTCGTTCTGTGTGTCATGTAAGCTTTGAACTAGTCCAGAGTCCACATGTGAGAATGTGTCGTCTAATGCATTTGATTGGAATAGTGTTTTTTATGGTCTTTCTACAGAATTTGGCAAGTGTCTGCTTCAAGGGAGTTTTCATGGTAAATATATGAATGAGTAGACTGGGCTGCCTTGCTGCTATTTTTACTCCGAAGTACTTTGTTTGGAGGATTTTTCCTCTCCTTTTAGCTACCCCCCTTTCCTTATGTAGTTTTAACTCTGTTAAGAAATATGATATACAATGGTTTTGGACAGTAGTGTTCTGCTCCATTGTATTTCTCCATTTTTCTTTGTGAAATAATCTTCCTCTGTCTGTTTCTAATTCCTTTTTCTCTAACATTAATCTCAGAGGGAGCATTTTTCATTTTTGGAAGCAAAAAGATGCACTCGCAGCAGAACAACATTCTATTACACTATTGGCTGGTTGATATTCATGGAAGATAGCCCCGTGAAATTTAAATCTTCAATGGATCCACTCCAGCAGGTACTCTGCCACTCATTAAAGTGCTTGTATAATTATTTTCTGTCTTATGTCTCTCTACCAGTTAGTACAGATTGGATTGTGCAGTTAGTGAAGTATTTGAACTTTACTGGGTGCATAAATATGAGTATGATGTGCTGTTAATCTTGGTGCAATTTATAATTTATTCATCGGTTGATTTAGGTTCTATCACTCAAAATTGCACGTTAAATTTGAATAAACACTGGACATGACAATGAGACATTGACAATATGAAGTAATATACATTTGGTATAAGGGGAAAGAATCATTTGACTGAAGTAATGGGTATCTGTACTATAGCTGGTGATTTTCCCTGTCCTTCAACTGTAGGTTTATAACTCAACTCTAATATTCTCTCACATCCAACATGTAAATACGCATAGTGTGTGCACAATATAGGACTTGAGCTTTTTGTAATTAAGTAGAGTGTATTATTTTATACTATGGGTAATACGAAATAATTACAAATATTCTTCTTGATTGATTAAAAGAAGTATGTAGATCCCATTCACTTATAGTCCGAAAAAACTCTCTCCATACTGCATCCATTCACAGTAATATCACTCGTTACATTCAATATTGTGTCATCACTCAAACCAAACTCATCATCTCAATAATTAACTGGTTGCAATAGCTATCTACAAAGTACACTATTAGTCTAGTACCGACAGTAATGTAACACAAAAATATAATATAATAAGATTCATATATAGAAGCTGAGAACTACACATGGTGAAGAGAATTGAAAACGCTAACTAATGAAGAAAAATATAGGAAGATAAGAAGATTGATTACAGCAAAGCTCTGAGATTTGTGAGAAGCTTTCCTGATTCTGGAAATAAATGTTGACAACCTCGGATATGAAGTTTGGGGAGGTCTCACCCTACAGCTGCTAAAGCTGCAAGAATTGCTCATCCAACACTCCCTGGTCAAAGAAAATCAATAAATAAAGCATACATTTGGGATGCATGTTTCTCCAATTACTACATATAAGAATTACCATAGACATATGTGTGTTTATAATCTAGAATGTGTCCTTGACAAAAAGGTGCAAGTTATTTGATGTCTTATCCACACAAAGTATAGTAGAGTCTGTCCCTATAAATCAGGCCACTGAGAGGGGAGATCTTACAGTTTAAATGGTTGCATGATCCTCTCAAATCAAGTGTGAAGTTCTGACTCTATTATGATTAAATCACTCCTACATTCAAGATAATTATTTGCTTATGTCTTATCCACTGCAAGGTATTGTAGAATCTGCCTCTAGAAACCAGGCTGTTTAAATGGTTTCATGCTCCTTGTCCTACAATTAAGTGTGAAGTTCTGACTTTATTAGTGAGAATTATTAGTGATTATGCTTATGAGAAGGACTTGGTCATTATGAAGTGCCTAAGTCCTAAATCAAGTAATATCAATTGGTGTTAGAGTTTGTTGTCGTTTTCCCCAAAAGGAATGCCTTAGAAGGGTTCCAACTAGTGGAGGGTTCTAACTAATAAAAAAGTTGAGTGAAGTGCCACCCGAGCAAATTTTTAAAGTGATAGCTGCCAAAATGTTAGCTCTTAGGATCTATGTTATGATAAGAACTTGAGTTTTATGGGATTCCTAAGTCCTACATTGGGTAGTGTGAATGCTTAGTGGGGTGTTTTATTGCATGATTTTCTCCTATAGCAAGTAGCTTTTAAGGGTGGTTCTTAGGTGTTTCGGTGCTTATCAGTGTATGCCATAGCTTTTGACAACTCTAATGTAATTGGTTAGTGAAAGATAATAGCAGTTGTTTATTTTATTGTGTTAATTATAACATGTAGATGGGTTTTTCTTATAATTAGTAGTTTAACCTTTTGGTCAAGTTAGCATATGATTTTCCCGGCTCTTTTTTAGGTTTTTCTCAGTTTGGAATCAACTCCGGATGCAGTATTTCGAACGGATGCTGTAAGGTTTGCACTTGTTGGTTTGATGAGGGACCTTAGAGGAATTGCAATGGCCACAAACAGGTTTGGTAGTCATGCTGTCTCTGTTATTCAATCTGAGGGAAGCAATTGAACTGACCTCTCAGTTTTTCATGTTTGTATTTCTTAGCCGCCGAACCTACGGATTTCTTTTTGATTGGTTGTACCCTGCACACATGCCTCTACTCTTAAAAGGCGTCTCACATTGGACAGACACCCCAGAGGTAATGAACCTTGTCGTTAATTCTTATACCTATATTACTCAAACAGCAAGTTTTGGTCCCATTATCATTTTGTAGATGCTAGCACATTGCATGAATTGCTACATTAACCGGCCAGTATGTTTAAACTTAAAATAAATGTTTTTAACATAATCAATTTTAAAAAAATCACTTATTTGAGATTCAGTTAGAATTTGTTTATTAAAATGACCAGAAAACCCTTTTTTTAAAAATAAAATAAAATAAACGAATTAGACAGAAACATAAAACAAATTAATCACTTGTTTCAAAAAATAGGCCCAAACAAAGTGGCACAATATCATAACATTGGCACAATTTATGGTTTGCAGCCCTGTTGACAGCAACTGGGTTTTGTAACTTTTCTGCTCAGCTATATTTAGTCACTTCTCCTTTCATGGCTTATCACAAATCATTTAATTAGTATCATTAGTTTTGCTGGTGGCTGAAGAGATGAGGGTGCTTATGGGGAAAACCATAAGCAACTTTCATATTCTTGGCCACCTCATACAGAGTTGGCAGACCTGTGGTATTACTTCTCTTTTGGGTTGCTAATGCATGATATGGCGTTGCTTCCCTCAACTCTCCATTGAGTCATGATATTTCTGTTGTTGGTTCTTTCACATTGGATTGTAACTAGCAGTTACCTTATTTGAATTCAATTGCTAATGCTTTTCTAGATAAAATTTTTTTGGCTAGGGTTGGTATAGAAGAAAAAACTAACAGTTGGTCAATCTGCAGAAAATCACGACATAGAACCCAAGCTCAACATTTTATTTCTAGAAAGCATTAATTTTTTACTGCTAATAATGCAAGTGCTAGGTGTCATGCTCCAGTGCGAATGAGTTATGGAATTGTTGTGTGCCTGTTATTATCTTACAATTTATCTTAAGACCATTGAAATGTTATAGACTGGTAGTGTTTTCCTGTGAAAAGAGTAGTGTGAAATCTTATTTCTAAGAAAACATCAAAACATGCCAAAGTGGGCACCAAAGGGTTTTGAACCACCTGATCTGAGGGCTAATTAAAATAACTCCTATATCTTTCTTGGCTTGACGTTGAGGGATTATGAACTGTTTGGGAAAGGGCTTGTTAGACTTCATCTTAAAACTGATTGACATTAAGTGAAGTTGTCTAATAGATGTTTGACATTAAGAAAAATTGTGTAACAAATACATAAGTTGCACTCCAAATATTGAAGCAGATGATGTGAAACTACCCAATTAGGCCAATTATATACCTTTCTAGACAAAATTGTGTAACAAATACATAAGTTGCACTCCAAAAATTGAAGCAGACGATGTGAAACTACCCAATTGGGCCAATTATATACCTTTCTAGACTTAATAAGGGACTGTGGATTGCCAAATTGAATGACCGACTTGCTAATGTGGCCTTACATGGATTACATGCCAATGTGGCTAAAGAACCTATGCAATTACAACTTAGATAGATGGCACACCCCCAAGAGTGCATAAGGCTTGGTCCTTTTGGCCCTGTCTAATGGTTTCTATATTCTTCTTGTAAATGTAGTTGAATTCCCCGTTGTGCCACCTCTTGAAAATCATGGGAACAGTTAAGGGGAGGAAACCTGTTTAAATAAGTGATAGATTCATACACAACAGGTCACACATTCCTGACTCTAACTAGACTCTTGGGTTCACTTGGAGCTCTGAGGGTCTCTAGTAAGTGAACTTTTTAGTGCAAATAGAAAACAATAAGTATAATACCTTTTGAACAGAAAATAATAGTAGTCAGTATAATTTGAATTTTTTTGAAAAAAGTATTAAGTTGAATATGGAAATTCTTAATTGAATTGCCTAACACAAATTGATTTTTAATTTCAGTACAGAAAGCTTTGAAATGGAAAATAGTTTAACATTCTTTCATAAAAAATTACCTTGTACCTTGTAGAAGTTATCAATAAAGGTAATAAAATACTTCAGGCCCAAAGTAGTAGAGACAAAAGTTGGACCCCTTTTGGAATATGTTAAGAATAAGTATCTTGATTATGTCTTAGGATAATCTCAAAGTATTTAGATTCTATTCATTGTATCTAAGTGCACAAAGTATCTTGAGTATTGTTGGATTCTAATTATCCCTCTACAAATGCCCTTTGTCATGTACATGTGGAATTACATCTTATGTATATATTTTGACGTATGTTCCTCTTCCCCCTCGGTTTGCTTGATTCTGCAGGTTACCACCCCATTGTTAAAGTTCATGGCTGAGTTTGTGCTAAATAAAGCTCAACGTTTAACATTTGACTCTTCTTCTCCCAATGGCATACTTCTTTTCCGGGAAGTTAGTATACTGATTGTAGCGTATGGATCTAGGGTTCTGACTCTTCCAAATGCTGCTGATATTTATACATACAAGTACAAAGGAATATGGATTTGTTTAACTATACTGTCAAGAGGTGAAATCCCAGCCCTGTTTATTTCTGGAGCATGGTCTTGTGTTCTGCTTGAGTTTTGCTAGCTCTTATAATTTTTTTGCAGCTAGTAAAGTTATTTTATGATTTTGCTTAATATAGTTATATAAATGGGTGTTTCTCTTTATATAAATTTGGTTCAGAATACTAAGTATTTTTTGTGAAATATTTGACTTGTTTGGTTTTGCTTAATACAGTTACATGAATGAGTATCTATTTATTGAGACATAATACTTTAGAGAGTTGATTGTATGTGGACGGGCTAAATTTAATATCTGGCATCAAATGACAGCCCTTTCCGGAAATTATGTCAACTTTGGTGTGTTCGAACTATACGGTGACAGAGCTCTATCTGACGCTCTTGATGCTGCTCTAAAGATGACACTGTCAATTCCTATGTCTGATATATTGGCTTATAGGAAGGTAAGCAAACTACTTTATTGCCATATAAGTCCAATGTACACTCAAATGAAATTTGCAATAATAAAGTGAAGGATATAAAGCTAAATGATTGCACAAATTAAAATTAAAATATATATCTATATCTATCTATCTATCTATATATATATATATATATATATATATATATATATATATATATATATATATATTCTTTTTTTATGAAGTTGAAAGAAACAAAATTTGTATATTAATTGTGTGGAATGTTCAATCATTAATTTCTCATTTAAAGGGTTAAGAAGAAGGTGGGTTTAGAGTCTAATTTAATCTCACAAAATTGGCATGTATGATGAAATTTGTCCCCATTTATATGCTATATTTTGGTTATTTTTTAGTCAATGAGACTAAACCACCACCCTTGTGGTTGCAATTAAGTTAAACCCCAAAGAGGCCTCAACTAAGGTGGGATAATCATTATTAAGGTGACTTTCAACTACTTCCTCTCACCCAGCATATCCAACCTAGAGTGTGGCAAAATGCTGGTGGGTCCAACTTTAGGGTTTAACTCAACTTGACAAAACTGGTTTGTAATATGAATGTTGTCTCCACATATATATTATATTTTAGTCATATCTATAGTTGATGTGAGACTAAACCACCACCCTTGTGCGTTGCCAGACCACAACTAACATGGGCTTATTGCAATTAAGACTACTTTTTAACAAGATTAAAAATGGAAATAACAGAAGATAGGGAAACAAATATCCCATATCTTTGATATTTAATACAATGGACAGTGGGTTCTTTAAAACAATTACTTTTTTATGTTAGAGGATGAGAAATATTCAAGTCTTAGATTTGAGTCGAGGCCTAAACTAACCTGAAAGCTAGCTAACGAGGTGAGGTTCTTCAAAATTGTCTCAGATTCAGGAGCCTTTACCGAACAGTTTAAAACTTTAGGAGCTTTGGTGATTGATATGGTATCAAAGCCTCCATGACCAAGTGATTGGGTTTTACCCTTGCTTTCTCTATTCTAAATAAAAATGAGTTTCAGCGGATATCACAGTGATTATGCATTGTCCGTACTTCAAGGTCAATTGGGCTACTGCATGAGGAACCATGTTATATATAAAACCATCCGTGAGCCTTCATAGTTTATCTAAGTTCTATTTTATCTCACTCCTGAATTCTTTGTTGTCAGGTTGCCAAATACTATTACGATGGATCTCACTTAGTTATTGCTTTTATGCAGCTAACGAGGGCTTATTTTGCATTCTTGGAGGTTCTGTTCAATAGCCACATCACTTTTGTATTAAACTTGGACGCAAACACCTTCATGCATATGGTTGGCTCCCTTGAATCTGGGCTTAAAGGATTAGATACGAGTATCTCATCACAGGTTATGGCTACAAGATCTCATTCCCATGCTCTTGTTTTCAGACTGAAGGACATTTTTCCATTGAATATTTTACGATATTCTGTTGATGTAAACATTATGTATTTGGTGTCTAACTGCCTTTGTCCAACTCTTATAAATTCTACTTACAGTGTGCGTCTGCTGTTGATAATTTGGCTGCCTTCTATTTTAACAACATCACCATGGGAGAGGCTCCAAATTTACCTGCATCTGTCAATCTTGCTCGTCATATTGCAGAATGTCCCAATCTGTTTCCTGAAGTATATATTTTTTTGTTCACTATTCTGTTAAAAGTTCATAATTTTTGCTCTAAACTTTTTATAATTCTTATTTGTCTGGAGTTTTGAAAAATTTATAGTGTAGTTAATACCCTGAAATCATCATTTGACTCCCAATTTTCACTTAGCGGAAACCTTCAAATCATATAAGTTATCTGTTGTGTGTATAACTTGTTCACTAAATACTTGAGAAAGCAGACTACTGGTTTAATTTATGAAATATGCTCGTATTCATTTTGCCTATCGTGAAACTAGGAATGGGGAACCATTTTATGTAGGGTTATTTGACTTGGGTGTCTCTCTTTTGCATGCCAAGATTTTGAAGACCCTATTTGAGATCATACTGTTTGAAGACTGTGGGAACCAATGGAGTCTGAGTAGGCCAATGTTGAGCTTGATACTCATTAATGAGCAGGTAGTGGAGCTTTTCAATTATTTTCATAAAAATTACTGGTATATGATATATACACTCCGAGTTGAAGTTGAGTGAAATATTAATGTGCATTTATTGCCTGACTAATCAAGTTATAGACTAATTTGCCACACAATTCTAACCGCATTCTATCTGTTTCTGTGACATAATCAAGTTATAGACTGAGTTGTTATTTACGTGCAGATATTCTCTGATCTGAAAGCTCAAATATTGGCATCACAGGTATTTTCCTTCTCAGTGTTTTCTGAAAGTTCAGCTATAAATTTTTGTTGTGTTTTTTTTTTCTGAATTACAGATCACGTATTCAGGATATAAGGGTGAGTGCATTCAGGTCTAATTTTTCACACATCACAGTCATGTAAAAAGAGACCCACAGACTATAAATATTGTTCCACTAGTGGAATACTGATCATAGTTGTTCTGTCATCTCTCTCTCTACTTAAGCGTACATCAAAGTGGTGGCAATAAATTGCTAATAAGTGGTTCAGTTAGCTATTGTAATATCTTACATGTTTTTGGGTGGATTGAACCATGAGTTGTGCTTTTTCACTTTGCTTATGTTGCGTGACTAGGGTCTGATTAATTTTTGCAGCCAATGGATCAGCATCAGCGGCTCTCTTCATGCTTCGATAAACTCATGGCAGATGTTACTCTAAGCATAGATTCAAAGAACAGGGATAAGTTTACTCAAAATCTCACCGTATTTCGGCATGAATTCCGTGCCAAATAATTCAAATTTATCCAAGTAAATATGACAATGTTTGGTGTCTGTATATTGTCTGTTTGGAGAATCTGCTTCCCTCTTTTCTGGTGGCACCTGGGGGGACCTATCATGGAAGAAAGAACCGCTTTATGCGATTTCTTCATTTTGGTCTTACGTGTAAGAAATGTATTTTTTTTGTAATTACTGTTCATGCAGTGTGGACGATAGCTGTATACTTTTGGTGGTACCAGATAACTCTTTATACTCCTCAGATTTGGGTGACTCGATATTCAAAGATGACGGAGAGAAGATTTTGAAGATTTAAGGATGTGGTTAGTACAAAAACGGTCATGGCAAAATTAGTGGAGGGATGGATAAAACGGAACCACCTGAAATGTAGAGAGATTGAGTTAGATATATTCTTTTTAGAACTCGTGTATATTATTTATCGATGATATTTGTTTAGAAACATGCTAGATATTATTTGATATATTGTATAATTGATTTCTCTGTACCTCTATTCAAAACCAGTAAAAAGAAGGGAAGAAAATGTGTTTAGATGATGATAGAATTATAGAAGAGAAATGTTGATTTATAGATTTTTTTTTTCAGCCTGGGGATGGGGTGTTCCGATCCTGATTTTTGGAATTATTTTTCAAGTCAATCGTCATAGAGCATCTTTTAGGAAAACTAAAGCTAGCTATTTGTGACAGAAGATCGAATTATAAATGTGGGGTCACTTAATATCTTGAAAAAGATAAAGAAAAAAACATCATTATTAGTTTGTGTCATGAACCGATAAAATTGAGATTTAGATGCAGTAGCTCTAGTTTAAAAAACTTATTATAATTAAAAAAATTATTCACTAAAATTCTGTTAGTTGCATAAAAACCTTAAATCTCTAACAGAGTATTGTAAAATTAGTATATGATTATATATATATATATATATATATATATATATATATATATTTTTTTTTTTTTAATAATTGAAATTTGTTTTTTGGTTGAATGTATCTCGATTATCATCTTTATTTTATTTAGTCCTGTTAGTTTGAATTGTAGGTAGATATTCTTTTTCTATTTGATGTTACGTTCTTTCGGTCATATATATAATGCAATGTTAAAAAGGCTCCGCATCATTTAGTTTTGTCAGATTTTCCTTTTTCTTATGAGATATATATTAATATTATAAATATATACTAAATATGTCTAATTTTTTGTGCCAATAGATTAAAGAATTTAAAGAAAATTATAGTTAGAGTCAATAATAATGTAACGACGAAATTTATTATAAGAAAGTAATATTATTTATTAAATTTTCTCTCTATCATTAAAAATATGTTATGAAATTAAAAAATGTCTAGAGATGAGAAAAGGAAAAAATATTTATATAATTGATGATAAACAAACATTTTATTTGCCATTTATTTCTCTTGTCACACAATTTATTTTGCAAATGCAATTAGTAGTTGTAAAACACGTGAGCTACAGAAAAACAGAGGTAGAATAAGAGAGTTTTATATTAAGATTACTTGTATCTATCTATGTATGTATTTATCAATCTGATATTCACTGGGAGTGAGAGTAGAACTGCAACGACATGGGCGATGGAACAGAAACCGCGAAAGAAAACATCGCTATTGCTAGGCCGCAGTGCACTTTTATCTCTCAAGAGGACGATGTGTGGCTGAGTTTCCTTCAACTGGAACATCCTCATACTCATTTTCTTGTGGAGGATCAAATTTTGCAATACTCTTCTGTTACGTTCTTTCCTCATTTTTCGCACTACAACTACTTACCACTATTAGATTAAAATTTTCAATGTCTTTGAGCAGATATCACAGTGTATGGAGACATCACCCCAAAACCAAAACCAAGGGGTAAATAATTAATAGCACGTTTTAATTTCAATGTAGTAGTATTTTTTTGAACAGTAATTGTCTGCAATTTGATGCTGCTTAGTCTAGGTCACAACAGAAATGGAACACAAATACGGTAGCGCATCACACCGAGCAGCTTCATTGAATAGGTTTCGGCAAAAGAGGAAACAACTATGTTTTGCTAATAAAATAAGATATAGAACACGTCAAGAAGCTACTCTCAGGTAAGGTCTCATAATTATACTTCACTAATTCAATGGATATCTTCTTCTACTCTGTATGAACATTTAAGATTGAGACGAATCCATGAGAATTTTGAATTTGTTGATGTCCCTTCCTTGTTGGTCTTTTCTACTGATCTTATTCATATGGGCTGTCATAACTAATTGCTATAAGCAGAGTACATCGTAGCAAGAGCCAGATTATTTTGTCCAAAATCCACGAGTCAGGGCAAGAGGACATTCACTCAGTGTGAGTTTTTATGTCTCCATCTAAAATTTTTGAAAATCTCTAACTATTTGTCCTTTTAAAAAAAATTATAAATGGTTTGGTCCCTTATTTGTATAGATGCAGGAATTGTGGCATTAGTTCAAAATACACCCCTATGATGCGGCGAGGACCATCTGGTCCAGGATCACTTTGCAATGCATGTGGGCTATCTTGGGCAAACAGGGTATGTTTTCTTCAATTCATTTATTCTTTTATGGGTGATTTTATGAATAACTTATATTCTGTTGCCCTTACTTTATCAGGGTGTGTTCAACTATAAGAAAGCAATTTAGTTCATGTAAAAGGGAAAAATAAGTCTCTATTATACTTGTTAAGGAAGGAAGTAGAAGAGATCTGAAAGTTTAATGATAGATTGGTTGCAATAATTCATCCTCTAAAGAGTGTGGATGAATGAAATTTAAAAAGAAAGATTACATCTTAGACAATTATAAATTAGGGATTCGATTAATAACAACAGGATTAATTATACACAGAGTACTGTGTCAGTTCATTTAATTATGAATTTATTAAAAGTTGTGAACAATATAATTTTAATCATTTTTTAATAATTCTAACATTTTTTCTAAATAATTAATTTAAATACCCAAATTTATGTTGTTTTCTCCCATTATATAATTGCATAAGATATCTTATTTTGAAAAAAATAAGATGAATTGATTTTTCTAAAAAAATTGGTCCCAAATGAATAGTTATATTGGATTATTGCATTAAAATGATTAATTAATAAATTATAAACAATTCTTTTTTAATATTAGTGGAATGAGTCATTTTATTTTTCAATATAAGTTCTATTTAACTTCGTTTTATCACGTCTTTGTCCAGTGATAATTGTTTGTTTTTTGTCATTCAAATTACTCGAAAAGGTAATGCATAGTATTTTTAAAAATAAATATGGTTTTTGTCTTTATTGTTTTTTAACAAATGAGCTTTTACTTCTTCTTTTTTTTTTTTTCTGGAGAAGGTATCTTTAACATTTAAACAATCATAGAATATTTTAATAAATTTCAGAATAATTTATGTATATGTTATTCCAAATGCTTAAAATATTGTGAAATAGCTTATTAATTATATTTTTTTTTCAAAAAGTAGTAATTCTGTTATACACCAGCAGAATTGATGCCTATGATATACCATAAAAGAATTTATGTATACGAGCAATGATATATGTAGACAATTATATTATACAATCTTTAGACTATTAAACAATGATAATAGTAATAATAATTATTATAATAATAAGTTAATTCATAGTTAAAAATAAAAATTGTCTATAAATTATTATGAATTATGGAAAATTGTTTATTAAAAAACAATAACTACTTTATGGCATCTCTGGTCAAAATAAATTTGGCTTCTTCATCGATTAACAATTATATATATATATATATATATATATATATATATATATATATATATATATATATATATATTTCCATTTTTTTCTATATAATTAATAAAAAATTATCACTTCTCTCTTTTCTTAACAACCTCAAATTATCATTTTTTTTTCTTTAAAACACTTCAATTATATGTTATCTTTTATTTTACTTTCTCATCTTAAATATATAATTTTAAATTATAAATAAAAACGTTAAATTATAAAAATAGTAAAATAAAATCAGACACACAATCGGATGAGCATTTATGATTATTTTTCTGCTAGTATAAATAAAAGAGTGAGGAATCTTCTTACAATTTTTAAAGTTTTCTAAAAAAAATATATATTAAAAATTTCTGGATATAGTTATATTGTTTATTTCCTTTCTACTTGGCCACAGAAGCACATATGACAGTTATAATTGTAATGATTTTTTTTTAAATAGTTCTTTTCTTTTTTATTTCATTCATTTTTTTTTATATTTGATTGTAAACCTCACTGACAAAAACAATAGTTACATAAGAATTTTTACAAAGTGGCAGATTATAGGTTTTAAATTCTATCAATTACAGATAAGTTTTGCTTTGAGATCATAATTTCTATTATAACTGACATTTACGAGTTTTAATGTATAGATTACCATCTTAAACGAAAAATACTTTTTTTAAAACAAATAATCTTGTAAGAAAAACGTTGAAGACAAAAAAAAAATGATTTTATTACAAGATAATCGAAAAAAAAAAGACAACGAGCAAACTTTAATTTTTGTCAACAGATTTATTTTGTTTCTAATAAATTTTTTAGGCACTAAAAAAAATTGTATTGGTATAGTATTTAATTTTGCAAAATAATAAGAAATTATAATATATAAGAAGAGAAATGTGGTATCGGGTGGCGAGAGGGTAAGGTTTTGCCTTGAATTTGTTAGACAAAGTCTTATCTCCGACTCTCATATCTGATCTCAACAACTTCGCATTCCTCTCTGATGGCTGTTTCGGCAATCACTGGAGCGAGGCTAACCCTAGGGAGACCTCTCTCCTCTCCCACACTCACACGCACCAGAACAACTTCTCCTTCGCTCGTAATGGCCATATCCATTGACCACAAGACCGACAGCAAACTCACTCTTACAAAGTCCGAGGAGGCTTTCGCCGCTGCCAAGGTACGATACCTCGTCCTTTGCAATTGAAATCATATTCGATGATTTTATTTGATTTTGATTTTGATTTTGATGTTAGGAGCTGTTGCCTGGAGGTGTCAACTCACCAGTTCGTGCCTTCAAATCGGTGGGTGGCCAACCAATTGTGATTGATTCAGTGAAAGGGTGTCGCATGTGGGACATCGATGGCAATGAGTACATTGACTACGTAGGTTCTTGGGGTCCTGCTATTATTGGTCACGCCGATGATCAGGTTAGAACAAGCCTTCCCATTTTCCATTCATTCGTTCAATGAAGTTTAATAGAAAAAAAAAATAGGGTTATAATATATTACTATTGGTTTCGAGTTCGAATTCTGAAGATGGAACTGTGTTAAATACACTCAGAACCAGAGTTTTAAACCACCGTAAGAAAAGAGAAAAAGGGCAGGGTAATAATCTTAAAGGATTTAATTAGAATGCACTATGTACAATGGTTTTCTCCGTTGGGTCATTATTTATTGATTGACAGAGTAAAGGTCATTACACTGGTGCACCCTGTCTATTTGAATTATATTGACAGGTGCTTGCAGCTCTGGGTGAAACCATGAAGAAAGGAACCAGCTTTGGTGCACCCTGTCTGCTTGAAAACACTTTGGCTGAGCTGGTTATCGATGCCGTCCCCAGCATTGAAATGGTTCGGTTTGTCAACTCAGGCACGGAAGCTTGCATGGGTGCGCTCCGTCTTGCACGTGCTTATACTGGACAAGAGAAGATCATCAAGTTTGAGGGGTGTTACCATGGCCATGCGGATCCTTTTCTTGTTAAGGCTGGTAGTGGAGTTGCCACCTTAGGACTTCCTGATTCCCCTGGTGTCCCCAAAGCTGCCACGTATGAAACGCTTACAGCCCCATACAATGACATCTTGGCCGTCGAGAAGCTCTTTGAGACTAACAAAGGAGAAATTGCGGCTGTTTTCCTGGAACCTGTTGTTGGAAACGCTGGCTTCATTGTTCCTACACCTGAATTTCTTAATTTCTTGCGCAAAATCACCAAAGAGAACAATACCCTTCTTGTGTTTGATGAAGTTATGACCGGATTTCGATTGTCGTATGGAGGTGCTCAAGAGTATTTTGGTATAACTCCTGATTTAACAACTCTAGGAAAGATCATAGGTGGAGGTCTGCCAGTTGGCGCTTATGGTGGGAGGAGGGATATTATGCAGATGGTGGCACCAGCTGGCCCGATGTACCAGGCTGGGACCTTGAGTGGGAACCCCTTGGCCATGACTGCAGGCATACATACCCTGCAGCGGATTAAGGAGCCAGGAACTTACGAGTACTTGGACAAAATCACAGGTGAGCTTGTTCAGGGCATTATTGAAGCTGGGAAGAGGGCAGACCATGCAATATGTGGTGGGCATATAAGGGGGATGTTTGGGTTTTTCTTCACAGAAGGACCTGTTTATAATTTTTCAGATGCCAAAAAGAGTGACACGGCCAAGTTTGCTAGGTTTTTTTGGGGAATGCTGGCCGAAGGTGTCTATTTGGCACCTTCCCAGTTTGAGGCTGGCTTCACCAGCTTGGCACATACTTCTGATGACATTAATAAGACAATAGCCGCTGCTGAGAAAGTTTTCAGAGAGATCTGAATGTTAAATTTTGTAACGTTGCAAATTGTTATTCAGAGAGTGAATTTTGTAGAATCAGTTTAGATTATTGTTATGGCACGCAATCGTTTTTATCTGTATCGTTTTCCAATCCTGTATCTACCCCGTGTATTTATCTTGAGCTGTAACTCACTTGAATTCGAAGCTTGTAAGCATTCGAATTTATTATTTAACTCCTAATTCCAGTACCACATGTTATCTTAATGTAGGCGTGCATTTTGCTTGTGCATTAGGTATCGGTACATGTTTTGCGTACATTAAATTGGACAAAAGTTAGCATAAACTAATAATTAAAATTATACTAATTTTTTGCATATTTATTTCTCTTAAAGACAATTATTGGCATGAGCTCAATTACATATTTGTTAGTTGTTTGTTTAGCAAGGGTCCTTATACCCCGTTGGAGGGCGAGTATAGATGAGCTGTTTTTTTAAGTCACAAGTGCCTCTCAAAATTCCCCCGACATCAATTTGCAAGTTCTATAAATCTCCGAAATAGTACAGTCAGGTTCCTGAAAATGTCTATGTACGACACTGCTCATTTGGTTGAATGCTTATCGCATGGCAATGACTTGAAAATAATTAGCTGTTGTATTACTCGGAGGGTTTTTCAGAAAGGCCACAGGTAAAACACTTTCTGTCGCATGGAACAAAGTTATAGGTCTTTTTATGGTAAATTGTGTGCCATTGTTTATGTTTACAAATATTTAAAGCAGATACTTCCCTTTTTTGTATTCTCAAGTTCTACGCACAACATATTTTTTTTTCTACTTGTGCATTACCTTTGCCCATGCATAATAGAAACCAAACAAGATGAAGCAAAAAGGAAAGATAGATAAAACTATTGGACATATGTTGAGCCTCAGATATATTTATATCACAACCTCTAATGTGTCACAAGCTTCACATGAAATGTACAGTGCAGTTAAATTAAATTTTGTCTTCATATAAAATTTGGGTTTCAATCTGCAGCCTCTGTCAAGATGCTCCGAGTGGACTTCAGCCAGCCGATCTCGCAAAAAGTCCAAAGTAAGCTGGATCTCAAAAGAAAAAAAGATGATGTTATATCAAGTGTCTAAATAAAAAAGCTGAAGTGTAAAAACAGATGTAGTTAGCTCATAACTTATATCCTCACGCAGATACGACTACCATATATATTTACGAAAATCAGTTCTCCTCTGCAAGAGGTGAGATACTTCTTGATACGATTTTACATCAAACAGAATAAGGAACTTGCTATTTTAATGCTTTCTTTTCCTACATCTACAATTAGACTTAAAATAAAAAAATCATTGAGCTTTCCAAATGACTAAAAAGAGCTAACAGATTATGACTAGTAGTTGAGAAAAAAATGTAAAATAATATATGATTTAACATCTTATTTAAGATATTCTAGAATGTGCAACATGTAAGATATTCTAAGATATGATGAGGTATTTTCCTTATATTCTAACCGTACAGAGAGTTGGAATCAACCCAATGCAAAAGGCAGTAGTTGGAAGATATTGACAATCATCATATGCAACCATATGCTGTAGCATAGTTCACAAGGAAGATATGGGAACTCAGTAAAGTTACAGAATCTTTGATGCTCTATTTCACAATACAAGTAGCAAATATAAGTACCTCACTAGCTTTGTTTAGTTGAAGTTCACAACGAGAGCAGTATATAAGATTGTAACTGTCTTTAAGCTGTCCTTGCTTACAAATGGGACACCAAATCTCTTTCCCACGCGCCTATTATCAATTTTCATAATCAAATCAGAGACATCGTTCCAATTAAAGGTTGCTTTCGAACAAATACATTTTTTTCGCAACATAGCACATATTCTGTAATAAATGGCAATGTGGAAATGTCACTGATTATGATGTGATGTGATAAGCCAATGCACAGAAACTACCATAGGATACTTGAACTTTGGTTAATATTACAGATACATATATATTGGCAGCAAAACTAACATGTTTGAGTTGCAGTGACTGAAGAAAGGTATGGATGCAGGATCAAAATCTAAGGCTACTGTTATTAAGATATGCCAATATCTAATAAGAAGATAACTTAGGAAACTGCCATCTTTTAAATCGTATACCTCATCTTCACTTAGCTGCATATGCTCATAAACTGCACGAGCCAAGTACTCATCCACTTCATGTTCCCAAGTATCAACGTAGCTTTCTAAATCTGCAGGGAGAGAGGTAAAATTACCACATTAAAAACAGGTGTAAGTTAACGCAATTTGCATAGCAACGTAAACCTAAAAGCACATGCCCCTTTTCCATCATTTCTAAATAGCTTTGGCGTTTCTTTTGTTTCCATTAACTCATCTGGCACAATCCAGTACTACAATACAACCAATGGAAGCAATCATAGACACACACTCACTAACCCATGCGTAAATACAGCAACAAGCAATGCAATGACACTCAGTCATGGAGGAATTAGCATCCTAAAGAGATAGAATATAATATTAAGTAACAGGAAAGGTGACAGATAATTAGATATGATTTGCACATAATCGAGAGTGAGTTGCTCACCTTTTGGTATGTCTAAGGGTGGTTGGGATTTGAGATCTTCATAAAATATCCTTTCCATTTCTAAGAGTATTTCTTCATATTCATCATGGTAAGCAGTGTCGGGAGGACCTTCATACTCCCATAACAGCTCATCCGTTTTCATTTTGTCGAATTCATGGGATACAATATCCTTGAATGCAGACTTCACAGTGTCATCCTGCCATGCCACCGAGTAATGATGATGATAACAAGAATGTAATAGAATTGGAGGAATGAGATGTAGGTACCTGTTGCTGTTGCTGTTGCTGTTCGTTCAATCTGAATTTCCAGAGTAAGCGAGTTCGGTCCTCTCGCACCCTTTTGTAGCAATTGTCTCTCAACTGCGAAGCGCACCCAAACTACTCACGCTTAAGTTGTGTTGGGAATAACAATGGAAAAAAGAAATAGAGAGAAGGATTGGGAAAGGATGACCTTGTGCTTCCACAATTGATATTTGTTGAACGGAGTATCGGATTTCAGAGATGGTCGGGTCGCGCTTGCCTTCTCCTTCAACCTCCCATCTCTACCCTCCTCCATATCTGCTCCCGCCGCTAGATTGCTTTTCGTTTCGTTCTTTTTCTTTCAATCTTTTCATTGGACCAATTTTTTACATAGATAAAAATATTAAAAAAAATTGATATATTAAGAAAAAGCATTCATTCAACAATTCAATCTTTTAATATAATAATTATAAAAATATTTTATGAAATTAAAAATAATTTAAATTAATATTATATTATTAAAAAAATTATTCAAAATGAATATTTATTAGAAAGAGAAAATAAAAGAATAATTTCCCTTTAAAAATTAACTTCTTTATGGACTATGTACCTAATACTATTTTCAAAAACAATTTTTTTTTTATAATTTTTTAATTTAAAATATAAATGTTTTAATGAGATTATTAAATTATTTTTTAATCTTTAAGAAAAATGTTTTTTCTCTCACTCTTAACAACTTATTTTTCTATGTGTATTTCATCTAGTTTTTATTCGTTTTAATCTTGTTTGTGTGAAATTTTCATTCTTTCATCCAACTCTTTTTTGTTTTCTATTATCTTAAGAATTTTCATTAGAGAAAAAAATGGATCAGATGTAAAATTATTAAAATTAATTGATATTAGAAATATTAAATTTGATGTTTTTTTATTAATAATTTTAATAATATCAAACTTGCGATTATTTGATTATTTTATATTTTTAATATTGTGTTAATAATTTTATGTATTATCCTATAAATATAAAATATTATAATATTTAAAATAAAATTAACATATTTACTGACAACAATATTATTTTATTAAGATTAATTTCAATTCAATTTTCTTTGATAAATTATCTCTCGTTAACATTGTAATTTCTTTATCTTTTCTCGACTCAATCTAAAATTTAGTTTTGTGCAAAAAAAAAAAAAATATATATATATATATATACCGGATTCCCAAATTATCATTTATATAAAACAAATGAAAAAATAATTTATATTTTTTAGATGTTAAATCTATATATTAACTTCAGTTGTTATATAAACAAATAATTGAAACATTTTCAATTAATATTTATTTTATTTATGATATTCTTATCTATAAATGATTTGAGCGTAACAACTATTAATGCTCATTAAACAACACGTTTCTATGTAACCTTTAAAAATAAATGCGATATATTTAAATTATATTGTCTATAAATTAGATAGTAAGATAAAAGAAAATAAAGGGAAAAAGTTTGGTGTGGGCAGATCTAATTTTAAAGTAATAGGCGCAGATCGAAAAAAAGATAGAGGGGTGAGATTGTGTGAAGGGCTTAATCATTAGTTCGTAATTGCGTAAGTCTATGGTAAAAGGAAAAGGAAAAGAGGATGTGCTTTCTGTCTCTTTGAATTTTAATTAAACTCTTCTCTCTCTCTCTCTCTTTCTCACTGTTCTTCCGTGGAAGACGAAGAAGAAGTAGTAAAAGTGATCGGAGAAAGATGCTGGAGAATCTGCAGGCTGTTCCGGCAACGGAATCCGCCCCAGTCGTGAAGCGCTATGCTCCTCCGAACCAGAGGTATTTTCTATTATTATATTGCACTAATTATGTTATCACTTTCTTTTTTAATTTCTGATATTTCCCATTCCTTCTTTTGCAGGAACCGTTCTGCCAACAGGCGCAAATCATCTGGTCAGTTCACTCCTAATTTTCTTCCAATCAATTAATCCTTTTATTTCTATTTAGATGTCTCAATCACATCCCTTCTCTTATTCGTTACCGCCATTCCAAATGGGTATTTAGTGATGTCAAACAAGTATCGTTCCCTTTTGTCTCAGTGGTAGTGGGTGTGCTTATTTTACTTCTGAAGTCGATCCCTTCCTTATTAAGTTTCGGTTGCAAATTTCATTTGCTATACCTCAATTACTGCCCTTATAGCGTCTATCTTTTATCTATAGAATGGGAAGTAGAAATCCTTGTTTCGGATTTTTCTTGATTTCAGATACCATCCTGTAGTTTCAACATTATTCCCTAACGTATCCATCTTTAGCACATGTAAGTGTAACATAATTTTGAGGCAAGTCAACAATATAAATGACACCTTTCACCCCTTTTCGCACATACATACACCCCTCACACATCACCATTCTGTGAAAAAAAGATATAAAAAATGGAATAGGTGGTTATATGGTAATGGAAATCTCAGGAGGAAATTTGTCAAAGTTTGAACAACAAGGTGGGACATTGCCTTTGGGTCAAACTGCAGGGCGTAGTCCAAAGCACTCCTCCCCCCGCAGATCTGTCCCTGTTGACAACAGACTGATGAAAACAGCGTTGGCTGTCAGTTACCCTTAGCTATCTGGTTAAACTGTTGAAGTTGAGAGAAAGTCTCTATACTTACTCTTGGTGGCACTGAATTTCTTTCCTTTTCTAATATTAGTTTTATGTTCTCAATTAAGGTACTTACTATTTACAGTGATAACAACAAAAATTAAGGAAAGAAAAATAGAATACTTGTATCAGTGACCTTCCTTAATGACAAACCACTAATCTCGTTTGCATAATTCCCACTGAGCGATAGCAATTTGGCACATTTTCTGCTAGTTTATTTGGTTTATTTCTAATTTTTATTATTTTTCGTTTTAATCAACTTATGTAGATCGACTTGATCGGACAAACAGTGTTGGGAATGAGTTAGAAAAGAATCAAGTTGCATCTTCAAGAAATGTTCCCATTCCTGATCACGGAGAAGCTGGTAGCAGTAATCTTCTTAATGAGAATCATTATTCAAGATTTGTAGCTTTAGAAGGTTGTAGTTCAAGTGCAGCTTCCCAGCTTCTTAATGATCGTAAGTGTATCCCAAACTTTGCTTGAGAGAAATTGCATATATTTAGCAATTAAATATTCTTTCACTATGATATTTTCCAGATCTTATAATCTTACTAGAACAGTACTGTTACTCTATCTTCGACAAATGACAATCGCTTTCAATTAGTAAGCGGAGGTTTTATGTCTGCAGATTTTTAGGCCATATGGATCATGATGGTTTCAATGAGCTTCTTGATGGAATGGGGATGTCTAAGGCCCACTTTCTGTTTTAACTAATATGGTTTATGCTCACTTATTCTTGTTGGAGTCCAAAACTGTTAGTTATGTATTCCATTGATTTGTTAGAGTAAGGAGGATATTGTGTATGTAAGAAAAGTGAGAATCGGCTGTGCCTTTAGGTCTGTCAAAAACCAGGAAGTGTCATTAGGAGAAATCCTTGTATACACTGGTCCTTAGATCAAGTATCACCTTGATTCCGTTTAAGGCATTCACTCTGCCATAAAATTTCCTACCTTGTTGAGAATCATTTTTGTTGTGTTATTACTATTAGTATGTACCACTATGTTTCCTAATTTTCCTTTTATTGAGCAGATATGTATATCATGTCATGATAAAACAAAATATCCAACATTAAATAAATTCACAATATGATAAATAATAACTATAAGTTTTTACGCACACAATGACCATCCATCTAGGAGCAATAAATAGTAATGAAGTCAAAGAATGAAAGTTGATTGCGAAACTGGAATATTATCACTCGTTATTTCAGAAAAAGTTGTGTTAGTTTAGAATAGATCGGTCAAAGATAGGTTTGCCCCCTACTTTTACCATAAGTTGCAAGTATGATTCTTCAGCATCTAGGTCGACTTGAAGATAATCTAACGTTCATAACTACTTCGTATTAGAGTCATGTTAGGTAACATGCTGTAGATGACTTCATTGAGTAGAAGCATGTTAGGCAACATGCTGTAGAAGAACATATGGTTGATCATTCCAGTGGTTCAAGGAATGACTGAAGGATCAACAGGAGAAACAAGCAATGGTAATCAAGGACATATCAGAGGTTGAAAAAATAGAAATGAATCACATTTTGGGGTGGATCCATGGTTCCATGATATTTAAGAAATGAATCAAGTAGTACGAGATGTTAGATGAAATATTTAAGTGCATGATTCCCCTTCCTTTAACCAATGGCTTTTAAGAGTGGGTTTGCCAAGTGCTTGAGTTCTTACACGTAACTGATATCAGTTGGTGGGATAAGAATTTGTTGTTGTAGACTTGTAGGAAGAATTGTATAGCAGTAGGATTGATATAAGGAAAGTATGGATTGATCTATATATTATGTAAATACCTTTGTACAGAATGTTCATTCTTGATCAATGATCATTCTATCTGTTTCCATAACAAAATATTATTAATTCTCAAGTCCAAATAATTGTCAACATTCTCCTAATTTATTTTGCTTATGATGAATACATGTTTTCCCTTCAAATCCATGTCTTCATGGTTGCATGCCTATTGTTTCATTAGAGGTTTTATTGTCCTCAGCATTTTAACTATTCAGCCCTGCACATCACAGAATTTAAGTTTATTGTATTGCGAAGAGAAAAGGATGGGTGGGTAAGCTGGAATTTGTTCACTTACTTCCAAGCGATGTTTTGTCCATATCCCTGGTTAACATTGCCTGTTATCTTTGTTGACCATAAATTTATGTTTTCAGGTTGGACAGCTGCAATGCAGTCCTACAATAGTATCAAAGATTCTTCTGGTTAGTGCATGACCATCAAAGATTATATTTTTTCCCTTTTATGAACGTTTGCCACTTTGTTTATAGTTTTTGATGGCTATGATACTCAAACTTGTTTTGTATGTCTAACAAGTTATTAGTGTAAGAAACTGAGGTCATCACTGAAACTATATATATGAAATTATTCAGACTGACTACCGTACACCAAATATTTTTTATGTGTTTGGCTAGGTGTTTCTTGTGAGTGTAATTGTATTTGTACTAAACTACAAATTTAAACGGAAGAAAACTAATATTTTTAACTTCATCATAAGCTGGAAACTGGACAAGTTTATTTGACTGGATGGATTGTCTCTTTTTTTTTTTTTCTGATAATTTCTTCTGTCGTATAAATCAGAATAACCAAAAATCATGCTGATGTAATAAATATGCATATTATTTTGAAGCATCTAACTAAAATTGTTAATTACTAATTGGATAAATCTTGTGTCATCCTTAGGGAATTGATGATTGGATATGATGAGTGATTTATTATATAATTGAGACGCTTACGAGTGTGCTGCATATGAACTGTTAAGCATGGCACGAAGCCTGCTTTTTAATTTTCTTCCTACTTTCACATTTCAGAGAAGCCAGTTATGTATTCAAGTGGGGCGTCAGCATGGACTCATCAGCAGTTCAGACCTCCTCAGCAGGTAATCTCTTTCCCTTACCTTGCCATTACATTTTCTTTGAGATCATGGCCCCAGCTACAAGTGCTTCTTCCTCTTGTGTGTAACAGCTGGACTTCCTGGGAGAACTTCGTCGCCAAATGCACAATGCTAATCCTAGTTTCACCTCATGATGGCTGTCTCTGATGGATTCTTTAATAAAGATTTTGGAAGAACGTGGATTTGCCGACTAGTTTCACCAGTTGTTTTGTCAAACTAATTACTAATACATATAACTGAAATTCAGAATATCGACCACGCCTCTCTTATGTGTAAATTGGGACGTCGCTCATTCAGGATTCCTATTTAAATATTTATTCTGTACTCTGCCAAAAACCTATTTTCTTAATTTATGGTGTCACTATTTGTCTACTTCCAAAAAATAAAAAAACTATAAACTAAGATACATTAAATAATTTTAGTCGTTGTTTCTGTTTATATAATTTTTTTGGATAACTGATCGCCTTTTGATATTACAAGATTGAATTCGGCTACCAACTTCTCTTTTTTTTTTTTTTTTAATTTCTATTAAATTAATAGTTTTTGTTCAATATGAATGTGTTGCGCTAGCCTCCATTAGGAGGCCGATTTCAAAAGTTATGTGTACAAAGGAAAATTACACTTGTATGGCGATCTACTGAGATAATTTATTGTTTTTATTATAAATGATAGAATTTAAAAAAGTATATAAAATTAAATTAATTTATATTTTAAAATAAAAAAATAAGATCTTAAATTATATAAATAATGTTACATGTAATATTTATTTTAAAATTCATTAGAGTTACATGATACCACGTATATTTTGTCGAGTCTTTAGCATCAAATATAGTTTCCTCACATTTGTAAAGACCATAAGCAATTAGTTAATGTTGTAGTAAGAACTAGAAACATTTAATTTAAATTTTAGAGATAAAATATTTTTTTACAGAACCAAAATTAACGTTTTTATATTACATTCACCCAAAAAGATGTTCAGATATATTTTTGGTTCTTATACATTAAGTTTAATTTAATAATTACATTTTAAATTTGATTTAGGAGTGTTCAAGTTAAAAATATAAATTATTCTTTTATCAAATATAATGATTAACTAATATTACATTTAGGTATAAAAGTATTAAAATAATATTTTTTGTAAGTTTAACATTTTATCAATTTTGTAACAATAAAAAACATTGTTAAATATTACCTTTAACTATTAAAAAAATTAAAATCATGTATTTTGAAAAATTACAAATACATGTATCAATTTAAGAAAACAACTAAAAATAATTTTAGAAAAACTAAGAAACAAAAACGACTTGTTATAGTTGACCCTAAATAATATTAATATTATTAGATAGATTTCATTAGTAACACATTTTAAATATATATCATTAAAATAATATGAGATACTTAATTTGTTGGACTTATTTCTCTTTTAATATAACTTAAATTTATCTCAAAAATATATCGACTAATTTTTAAAGTTCAAATTCATTAAAATAAAATTCAGATTAAGTTCATATATATTTTTAAATAATTTAGTATTTTAATTTTAATTTATTTTAAGTTGAAAATTTGACATAGTTTTCTGGATGAACTTAAGGATAGCCTATGAATAATTAATCCTTTGAGATACTGTGTTTTATTTAGAAAATTAACTTCTCTTGCCATAACTTTTTTTTTCTTACACAAACAATTGGATTTAATCACAATTTACATACCTAAGAAATATAAATAGTTTGAAAATTATCTCCTTCATTTTATTATCCATTCGAACAGAGTGAGAAAGAAAGAGAAGAAGAGCGAGCAGAGAAATGGTGGTTGCGCGACTTGTTACTCCTAATCCTCCCTCCAACCTCTCCAACCTGTTCCGCAATCCTTCTTCTGCCGCCACACTCATACCTCCACGCACACATCTTCTCTCTTTCTCCGCTTCCGCATCCTCGGCCAATCACACACATGACACACCCACGACCAACAACGATTCTCCCTTCTCAACTTTCGGAAGACTCAAGGCTCAGAAAGTGAAAAATCTGCTCCACAGAAGCAAGGAGCAGAGACGCGCCCTACAATTTGAAGAAGAAGATGATGATGAGGACGAGGACGATGATGATGAATATGACAATCTTACAGCCCCCAGAGCCAGAGCCAGAGCCAGAGCCGGAGCCCGACGTTCTCAGTCTAGGCCTAGGTCGGGAGGACGAGAACGAGGAGGATGGGATATCATTCCCAACTTCCCCTCAGAAGCCAAATCAAGCACTGACACCAACTTCTTCAGTCTCAAGTCGTTCAAAGAAATTGGGTGCGCTGACTACGTCATTCAATCCCTCCAAAAAATCTTCTTCACGCGCCCTTCACGTGTACAGGTACTTTTTCACTCATTCACTCATTCCTAATATCACTCTCTCATACTCGTATCTCCTTTTGTATGTGTAGGCCATGGCGTTTGCCCCTGTTCTTAGCGGAAAGACTTGTGTTATAGCTGACCAAAGTGGTTCTGGAAAGACATTAGCTTATCTTGCACCAATCATTCAGCGTCTTAGACAAGAAGAACTTGAAGGACGTAGTAAATCCTCTTCACAAGCTCCTAGAGTCCTTGTACTCGCACCTACTGCTGAGTTAGCTTCCCAGGTCAAATTCTCGTCCTTATTTTCTCGTTCTCAACCTATCTTTTTGTTTTTTTGTTTTTTTTTTGTTTCAACCCATTGACCGTGGTGTAACTCCATTGTCGACCTAATGCACTATTGTCTGCTTTGAAGGTCTTAGATAATTGTCGATCCTTGTCAAAATCCGGGGTTCCGTTCAAATCTATGGTTGTCACGGGAGGTTTTCGACAAAGGACTCAACTGGAAAATTTACAGCAGGGAGTTGATGTCTTGATAGCGACGCCTGGCCGTTTTTTGTACCTCATAAATGAAGGCTTCTTGAAGTTAGCAAATCTAAGATGGTAAACCTTGGTCTCTTATTGATTGAACTGCTTACCACCATTACAAATTTATACATTGATTTACTGTTTTATCATTAAACAGGCAGTGGTGCAACTAATTTCCACAAGTAATGAGTTTGTTGACACAATGCATAACAATGAAATACATGCTATTGTAACTTGTACTTTGTTGGTTCCCGGCTTGCTTGGTCTAGTTGCTGGAGACATCTTTAATCTTTGACTTGCATAGTATGGCATAAGAAAATGCACATAATTTTAATTGTTGTTTGACGTGCTACAAAATTGGTGATCCACACTACATCAGAGTTTCTCTGCTGTCATTATGGCATGACGCAACCACATTGATATCATATCATGAATAAGGATATGGATACTCTGAAAAGACGAGTGAAAAGTGAGAAATTGATAGTTTATCTGCTATTGATTAAAAGTGAGTTAGGAGGTTTTTTAATCTAAATCAACATTGAGTTCACTTGTATTCTGTCACTTCATATATTTCTTCACTTTAGAGAAGTCAAATAATGTTACTTGATGTGGTGTGAATATATATCCATTGGGATATTTGACTTTTAATTTCTATTTTGAAAGAGAAGTACCAGAGTTTCATGCCCTTTCCTTCCTCAATGCGCCCGAATTAGGATATTTTATCTATGCACACTGATTGTGAAATTTATCGTTACAATAATAATTTGTTTCAGTGCTGTGTTGGACGAGGTAGATATACTCTTTGGTGATGAGGATTTTGAAGTGGCTCTTCAGCACTTGATCAATTCTTCACCGGTTGACGCACAGTATTTATTTGTGACTGCAACTTTGCCAAAAAATGTTTACACCAAATTGATTGAAGTTTTTCCGGATTGCGAAATGATTATGGGGCCTGGTATGCACCGTATAAGTTCTCGCCTTGAAGAGGTCAGGTTTCAATTGTAACTTCCTTTTCTTTCTATTTCATTACTTGGATAGAAGACAGCTTTACGGAATATTAGAAGACTTATCTCTGAATATGTTGACTTAGTCGGTAAAATTCAATGGACTAGGTATGATAAACATAACTACTTTTATTTGAGGTCGGAGGTACCTGCACAAGAAAGGATAAAGGAGGAGGATCAGTATTCTATTCAGCACCTCAATAAAGGAAATTACAATGATATATAGCCAATCAAGGATATGTGCTTATTCTAGAAGAAATCCTTCTAGGCCATGTGCTCATTATAACAGAACTCCTAACCACTCTAGCTAGTTGCCAACTAAGCACTAACAGTAAATTCTAGTACTTATTCGTTTGTTTAACAATCCTTTTGGGCCTACTGGTCTGGGCCTCTTCTATATATACTTTGTACTGTACATAGTTCTTAGAATTTTATGATTCATGATTCGAAAGCAACGACTTGGCATGATTTGACTACCTATCAATTCATATTATAAGATCAATCTTACGGTATATGAAAGAATCAGTGTCATTTTGTATCTTTGATACACTCACACCATCCAACTATTTGTTTTTTACCTTTCATTCATGAACTTGAAAAGTTATAAAGTCTAAATTATTAATGAAAAAGAAATATAGGAGCACTTCTCAACTTACCTTCTTTGAATATTCCACTGCTTTGTCTCTCACTTATGTGCACTCTATCTGGCTGTTTCAATGCTTCATCTTCATTCTTCTACAATAGGGGTTTCACAAACTTAGATATAACTCAATTCTGTTTTGAGGCTTATGATTAAGTTGATTTTATCTAATGCTACTTTACAATATAACCTTGACTGCTTTATATAATTTATTTGATATATTTGAAGTTATTTTCCATTGTCTTTGAATCTTACAATTTGATACAACTTGTGATCCGTGGTTCAAAAATTGGCTTGGCTATGTGATACGATGTCCACATCACTATGACTATTTTTAGGGTAACAAATAGCTTGGCTATGTGATACAATTGCATGTGGGACGGATCATAGCTTGTAACAAATAAGAAAATGTTATCATACACCTGTATTATATTCTTAGGGTGCTGGGATGTTTTGGTGCTATATTATATTCTTAGGCAACTATAATATAATGCATATCAATATTTGTTATGCAACTGAATTCTGTGCCAGACTGCCAGTCTTTTGAGACATCAGTTCCCATGTACCTTGATGCGATGATTATCTTCTCATTTGTTCAGATTCTAGTAGATTGCAGTGGAGAAGATGGTC